AGCTCCCTTTTCGTGGAATGCACTCCTCAGGGAGGTCTGCTTGGCAAAAATTCAGTGCCAGGCAAATAGGTTACTGCTTTTCTGAATATTCAGAAAATTCACCAATGACTGGATGTTTTTACTTTGTGTTTTTGATATATTTATGTATTTTTTTTTACTGTATTGTTGGATTTTGGGCTGCATACATGCCATACATTTAAAGCACATTTGCTCCCCCAACACACAAAGAATCATGGGAACTGTAGTTCAACCCTCACAGCACTAATTTCCCAGCAACCACAACAAATTACAAGATTCTTTGAGTGGCCAAGTGTTTTAAATGTAAGGTGTGTGCATAGCCTTATTCTCATAAATCGCTTTGAGAATGTATGCTGCGTGGGAAGCCAGAAAATGTTGTTCGGAGCACAAAACCTCGTATAAATGTCCCCAGACATATGGTGCAGCCCTTCCTCAAAGAGCCAGCCATCCCAAAGACCTCCATTACTTCTTACTGCATTTTTTGTTTTTGTTTCTGGTAACAAACCACACGGTGCTGGAGGAGACTCTTGAGAGTCCCATGGACTGCAAGAAGATCAAACCTATCCATTCTGAAGGAAATCAGCCCTGAGTGCTCACTGGAAGGACAGATCCTGAAGCTGAGACTCCAATACTTTGGCCACCTCAGGAGAAGAGAAGATCCCTGGAAAAGACCCTGATGTTGGGAAAGATAGAGGGCACAAGGAGAAGGGGATGACAGAGGACGAGATGGTTGGACAGTGTTCTCGAAGCTACCAGCATGAGTTTGACCAAACTGCGAGAGGCAGTGGAAGACAGGAGTGCCTGGCATGCTCTGGTCCATGGGGTCACGAAGAGTCAGACACGACTAAACGACTAAACAACAACAACAACAAACCACAATGAGTGGTCCTTTGAAAAGCTAGATTGCTTACGCAGCTATGCGTCACAAGAGCCAGTTCTTTGCGTCTGCATCAAAAATCCAATATTTGCCCAGTAGATCTCAAGCAGAGTTTGTGATTTTTGCTGTTGAGCGCTGCGCGACAAATCAGAACGATTCTACAAATCCACCCCTTTTTAATATGAAGAACATGGAGGGCGGGGAGGGTGGCGAGCAGAGGAGCATAATCCAGATTAAGACACCCATGCTGAATGTGGTTTTAGGAGACTAGTATGCTGCTTAAATCTTTCAGATTTGTCTGTCCAGATGTATTCTACAGATAAACTAAGCATGGATTAAAGCCAGTTTTGGTCTGTTGAAAACCCAACAGGAACCGAGGACTGCTGCCAGTTAAAATAGAGCAAGCCAGCAAACGAGAAAGATTTCTCCCCTTTAGTTTAGCGGTGGAGCACAGAAGATGCCAGTTTCTCCAGAAGGGGCTGAGATACTGGGGAAATTACTGGAACCTCACTATGGTTAGCGAAACTAGAATAAATTGTGCAATAGAAAAGGAACAGCGCAGAGGTGCTTAATCAGTGCAATTTATGCAAGTTGCAGAATTCAGGATGTGGGTTTATGCTGCCCCAGAATCTGTCATTGTTGCATGATACATAGAGCCTTGGCTCTGGCTATCGCTGGCTCCTGTGGGAGTGAGTTTTGTAGATTAACTATGCTGTTTGAAAAAGTATTTTCTTTTGTCTGCCCTGAATTTTCCAACATTCAGCTTCACTACATGTCCACGAGTTTTAGTGCTATGAGAGAGGAAGGGAATATATATAGATACAGATATGTTGTTGTTGTTTAGTCGTGTCCGACTCTTCGTGACCCCATGGACCAGAGCACGCCAGGCACTCCTGTCTTCCACTGCCTCCTGCAGTTTGGTCAAACTCATGCTGGTAGCTTCGAGAACACTGTCCAACCATCTCATCCTCTGTCATCCCCTTCTCCTTGTGCCCTCAATCTTTCCCAACATCAGGGTCTTTTCCAGGGAGTCTTCTCTTCTCATGAGGTGGCCAAAGTATTGGAGCCTGAGCTTCACGATCTGTCCTTCCAGTGAGCACTCAGGGCTGATTTCCTTAAGAATGGAGAGGTTTGATCTTCTTGCAGTCCACGGGACTCTCAAGAGTCTCCTACAGCACCATAATCCAAAAGCATCAATTCTTCGGCAATCAGCCTTCTTTATGGTCCAGCTATAGATATATAGATCCACTTTCTTCATGCCATGGATACTTTAAATACTTCCATCACATCAGCTCTGACTCTGTTTCTCTATTTGAAGGGCTGTTGATGAAGAAGTCCTTTATTTGAAGTCTTCCTCTTGAAGGGCTGTCCAAATCCAGTTGAAAGACAAAGAACCCAAGGAAGGAGGGAAACTCAAAGTTGCCCATCCAGTTTGCAGCACCCGAGAAATCTTGCTGCCTTCCCCACTGCAGTGAGATGGATTGCATGGCAATGCAGACGTACCGAGTTATAGTTATTATATCTATCTAAATTGGCATCAATGCATATAAATTAATATATTCAGATATTGTGCATATCTGTGCCCTTTTTGGTAATGCATGCTCTCTTCTCGCGGAATGCCTTCGGCAAAGGGCATGTTTTTATCCCACTAGGTATCTGCCCTAAACTTGAAACTGCTTTTATATTTGCAGATGTTTTAATTGTGTGTGCGCAATTGTTTTATATATGCTTTTATTGTATTGTCAAATTGCTTTGAGATGCTTCATAGCAAGCAATTCGTAAAGGAAACCAGTCTTGAGAAGGATATTGAGAAGCTGGAACGGTGTGCAGAGGAAGGCGGCCGAGATGATACAAACTAAACTCCTCTTCTACAAACTGCAAAGTGAAACAAAACAAAACAAAACACCAGTGCCTTTCACTTTTCATAACACTCAGTAGGAGTTACATAAAAGATATCCCCTTAGGCCTCTCCCTGTGTCACTCCCATACCATTGCCCTTTAAAGGAACAACACACAGTTTCAAGAAAACTTCCAGATGGCCACTCTCAGAGCCTTGGCTCCCCTAAAATATTTGAGGGGTCTGGGGTATGGTTACCAGACGTCCCCGTTTCCCAGGGACAGTCCCCAGATTTACAAATCTGTCCCCTGACAAAATCCCCGGATTTCATTTAATGTCCCTGGATTTATATTTTAAGTGTTGTAGATTTATTAATAGGGAATGAATGTTGTGTGATTGGTTCAACGGCACAAGACACATCATATGGGGACAAGGCAAAATGGCGGGCGCCACGACAGTGAGCAGCTCCTGAAGCCAGCCAGAACCAACTGCGCTACCAGGCTGGCTCCGGGCTGCTGAGACTGCCGCTGCTGCTGCCACTACCGAAGGGGAATCGGGGACGCCCGACGCGTCAACTGGGGGAGCCGCTGACCCCTTCCCCCCCGCAACCCAAATCGAGATGGGAGTGAAAGTGCCTGGCCATCCGGCCGACTGCCCAGAGGCACTCCAGGGCCAGGAAAACCCGGAGCCAATGCAAAAGGAAAGGGAGAGGAGAAGAGAGAGAAAGAAAGCAGTAGAAAAAAGAAAGAAACCCTGACCTTGCCACGCTGCCGCTGCCACTGCCACTGAGAGGTAGGAGAGCACCAGGAAGGCAAGGACATGTGGCCAGGCCCGACCCGAGCCTACCTCCACAGTGGCTAGCGCTCCAAGAGAGCAGGCCAGGACCCAGAGGAAGGCCACAGAAGAGAAGATATTACTTATTTTTTTGTGATTTTTCTCTTTTCAAAAAAATAACAACAATCTATATATTTTTAATTTTTTTTTAAGTGTCCCTGGATTCATTGAAGAAATCTGGTAACTTTAGTCTTCCCTCCCCAAGTCGATGGGCATTGCCATTTAAATGTTATACATGCACCACATCTTTTGATCAGTTATGTGGGGTGGGGCTTACCTCCCCCCTCCAGTTGTGTTCAAGTTGGCACCCCTGTTGTCAGAGTAGGACCTTGGGAGACCAGGGTTCAAATCCTGCCTCAGCCATGAAGCCCACTGGGTGGTCTCTCAGCCTAAGCTACCTCACAGGGTTGCTGTAAGAATAAAATAGGAAGAGAACTACGCACCCCACCTTGAGCACCTTTGGAGGAAAGGTGGTATATACATTGGTACCTCGGGTTAAGTACTTAATTCGTTCCGGAGGTCCGTTCTTAACCTGAAACTGTTCTTAACCTGAAGCACCACTTTAGCTAATGGGGCCTCCTGCTGCCGGAGCACGATTTCTGTTCTTATCCTGAAGCAAAGTTCTTAACCTGAAGCACTATTTCTGGGTTAGCGGAGTCTGTAACCTGAAGCATATGTAACCTAAAGCGTATGTAACCCGAGGTACCACTGTAAAAGGAAGGACAGAGAGAAAAATCGAGGTGGAGGAGGACTAACACCAGGTGGCAAAACAATTACCAAAGAAATGAAAGTATCCCGCTTGGCACATTTCGATAAAATATCTTCCCCGAGGGAAAATTCCCCAAGATCTTTGTTTTGTTTTGTTTCTTAAAGCTGCCTAGATTTCAAAGCCTGTTGCGTCGTAGCGAAAGACACAACCGCTGTCCCGTCGCCAAAAAGTAAAAAAGAATAAAAATGCCCGGCGCATCTGTAACCTGCGCGCGCAACGTTCTCCCCGTGCGCCCTGCACATCTGCCTTCTCCCCAAGCGCCAGCCTTCGCTGTTGCGCCTCTCCCGGCTCCCACGTGGGGCTCTGGCTATCGCTCCCTCGCTCGCCCCTTTTGTGTGCCCTGGACGGGGCGCGCTCGGGGGCGCGCGTGTCCCCCCCCCCCCCGGCCGCGCCTCCCTCCTTCGGGCTTCCTGTTTCTCCATCCTCCGGTTGCGCGCGTACGCGCGAGCGCGCGCGCTTGAAACCCAGCCTTCCTGCAAAAGCCCTGCCTCCAATTGCTGCGCGATCTCCTTCTTTGGTGGGAGGGGAGAGGGAGGGAAAGAGGGAGAAAGAGAGAGGGAAGGAGAGAGAGGGAGGGACCCCAGGGTAAGCTGCAGCCCACCCCCACCCCCCTCCTGATTGGGCCTCCTCCTTGCCAGGGCTGGAGACCATATAAAGGGAGGAGAGGGGAGGGGAGAAAGCGCGCGCGGGGAGGAGGAGGGGAGAGAGGCGCAAAAGGCACCCGCGCAAGGCCTCCCTCCCATTGGCTGCGATTCCCTTTGTGCGCCAGGCAGCTGCGAGCCTCAGCTCTCCATTTGAATGTATACAGGGCACTGGGAAGGGACCATTTCCATGGGCCATCTGTCTTACTCTAGCCCGCAGCAGCAGCAGCAGCACCAACCTCTCCAGAAACAGCAGACGCCAGCACTGCCAAAACCATCACCATCGCCACCGAAGAGGAGAAGGAGGAGGACCGCCGCCGCCGCCGCCACCACCACCATCACCACCGAGGGATAGTTGCAGCGCCAGGGGACCACAGCAGCTGGCCAAGATGGTTTTGGTACACGTCGGCTATCTTGTTCTTCCAGTGTTTGGCTCTGTACGAAACAGAGGTATCTCTTTATCTGTGCATTTTCTGGTGGGGTTGGGGTTTGGGGGGAGGTGGAGGGGCGGCTGTAGGGATGAGGAAAGAGCAACCCCCCCTTCCCTCCCCCCCAAATGACCTGGATGGTTTGGTGATGGTTGTAATGGAAGCCACTGGTCGTGTTGCCTTCTTACATACAACTGGCAGAGAGGCAAAGGAGAAGAGGTGTGTGTGTGTGTGAGTGTGTGAAAGTGGGGAGGGAGCTGGGGGGGTGGAGTGCAGAGCAAGTGTAAGGCATTTGAGAAAGGGGGGTGGATGAGGGGCAGGGGGAGGGCATCATCTCCTAGTGGTGTCGGGGGACCCGAGAAGCGCAAGGAAAGGGAGCAGTCTGTAAGGAATCGGGGCGCGGGGGGGAGATTAGAGAAAGAGATGGAGAAGCGGTGGAAAGAAAGAGGAGCCGGAGGGGGCTAGGGGATGAAAGAAGAGGCGAAATTCGGGGGTGAGAGAGAGAGAGAGAGAGAGAGGGCACGAACTGGGAAGGGACGTAGGGGATTGTGTGCGAGAGAGCGCAGGTGGGGAGATACCCCATTAGTAAGAAGGAAAATGGACCAGGATCGGAGATGGCAGGGAGGGAAATCTCTAAGTGGATCGAAGCGTTTTGTTTTGAGAAACAGTCTTGCGTTATTCTTTAGAGATCTTGGGTTGTATTTCAGAGCGATCTCGCCTTTTATGTAGAATAATGTATAACCTACCCCCCACCAATGTCCAGTTAACTCCATTTTATATATTCTGGCGAGCCCCTCCCCTTTTTTCTCCCTCCCCTTCCCACCTGACAAATATAGATCCATGCCTGCGAGGAGCACTAAACTGCCCCTTTCTATATATGCAGATTGTAGGGAACTTTACATGGTGGTTGGTGTGGTTGGAAATTGGAGGGTTTTACTTGATGCCCATAGGATATAAATCCAGGATCCAGGATTTTTGGGGGCTTTTTTGGTGTGTGTGTATGTGTGTATTTTTATTTTATTATTTTTTAAGTAATTGTCTTATATGCGATCCCAAGCCCCTATAAAACGAAATGCAAATTATGAGCTCATGGCGAGGCCAGCTGGTCTCATCCCTCGCTCTGCCTTCTGGTGAACTCTGTTCAGCCTCTTTTGTCTTCTCCTCCCCCCCACCAAATATACTTATCCAGTGGATTTTAATCCTTTTTGAGGGGGTTCGGGAACCCTCCAACCCAGCCCTGCCCCCCTCTTTTTTGTGAGGTTTGACATAGGTGTCTGTGCATTCCCACCCCCCCACACCAAACACCCCACTTTTCTTATGACATTTGAACAGTTTCTAATACCAAGCCCTGAAATATCCAGCCCTGTCCATTCACAGAGCAGTGTGTCTTTTGATCTGAGATGCACCCCGGTTGCCTAGACCGAAATCCAAATTAACAGCAATTATTTTCCATCTCTGGATTTGAATTTAATATGGGATGTGTATATGGCCATTGCACATTTCCTACAAGCTCTCCTTTCCCCTCCCATTCCTATATAGCCGCCACGGACAACGGTTTTGAATCCTCTGCTTCCTTTTTCTTCCTTTTTTTTTTTGGAACAATTTGTCCTCCTCCATTCCATGTATTTTCTTTCAATCAAATTGAAGATGCATTTAGATGTCATGGCTGATTGCTTCCCCGCACCCCCTTTCTCTAAGAGCCATTCTTGCCTCAACTATATAATCTCCTTTTTCCACCATGCCTGCCTCCTCCCCTTCTGTGGCTCATGGCTGATCGAAACCCTAGGATAGAACAACGGCAACAAAATCTCTCAGTTTAATTAAAGCGACTAAATAATATAGCCCGTTTTCCTGGTAAGCCAAGGCATTCTGCTCATATCCGCTAAGATGCGATCCATCAGTGAGGTGTGGACAGTTAATAGAAACACCCCCCCATAAGAAAAAGAGTCTAAGACCCTAAGGCGAGACTCCTGCCATTGTGCTCCTGAGACCTATGGGTTTCAGTAGCGACCCCACCTGCCACCCAAATCTCTTTGGGCTGCATCATTCTCAGGGCCAAATCCTGATCTCTGCAAAACACAGGTGAGGAGATGGAGGGTGTAAAAAAAGTGGGCTTCCAAGACACCGGGTCGAAACAGGCATCAGCATCTGCCCCCCCCCCCAGCCTCGCACATCCCTCATTCTGCTGCTTTTGCCTTTCCTCCCCTTTGCCCCTCCCTCCCCGCCCCCCCCCACTGTACATGTCTATGTACATAACAGCTTAGTTTCCGCACATGGTGGCATTTCTGTTTCCTTTAATTGCAGCCTCTTCTGGTGTGGTGTTGGTGGTGGTGATGATGATGATGATGATGGGATGACGACATTTTTTTTGCATTGATCCAAATCTTTTTCTTTCTTTGTTTGTTTCCAAATTTATTTTGTTTCCTCATCGTGTAGATCAGTGAATGGTCAACCTGCTGCCCCTTCCGTTGCCTTGTAGTTTTCTGCCTCTGCATTTTAGCTCTAATGTTGACACCCCCCACCCCCTTCTTTAACCATTTCCTGTATCCATCTGAGGAACTGCACTGGCCTTTTAAGCTGAAGTATCCTCTTTCGGTGGCGTTGCTGCAAAACCGGGGTGGGGGGGTTGTTGGCTGCTGGGAGGAGGAGCTTATGATATTTTAAAGCCGGAATGCTACCTCCCTCCCTCGCCTGCTCAGTTATCCTTGCATGACTTGAAAATGCAAAGGATTATTTATTTATTTTAAAAGCAAAAGGAAAAAGATAGAGAGAGAAGGCACTGTTTGATCACTCCCCAAAATTATGCTTCTCTGCAAAATATGATACTGATGTAGCCAAGAGCTTCTTCCTCAACAATTATGGTTTCTTTAAAAAATAAATAAAGAGCCAGCAGGCTGTAATTTCAAATTCAGGTGTCATCTGGGAGAAAGGGGGAAAATTTGCTTGTGTTCTTACCCTCTGGGGAGAAGCACCAGGAACAATAGATTTCACCTCTCTTTGGGTCTCATTGGCTTCCGAACACACCCACTGAGGAACTAAGGTTCTGGGTTAGGTGGTATTTGCCCCTGCTAAAAACCACCCGAGACTTTCTGACAGAGGATACTGAGGCTTAAAGCTGAAGTCTTAAACCACCAATCTTCCTGTGAAAAGAAAAAGGAAAGAAAGAATATGGTAGACAGACTGTATGCTCAAACCTGTTTCTCTTTAGCTGTCATTGTAGTAGTCTAGAAGGGTGTGGGGGGGAAACAGGCCATTTTCCAATATAGCTCTAGTTTTATAACGCCATTTTTGTATCTTCATCCTGTTTAGCTAAGTACATTTGCACTGTAAATTCCTGTTAAGTGGATTCATTTTGCTTCAGCTGGGTGGAGGACAATTTCTTGGGGTTCTTTGCTCCCCTTGCCACCCAAATCTCCGCCCTAACCTCTGTTCTTGTATTCGATCTTGGTTTCCCAGGCAAATTGACTTTGGCTTTGAATTTCTTACAAAAGAAAAAGAAACCCTTGCAAATTAAACAAACAAACAAACACAACCCCCCCCCAATCATCTGCAAAAAAGGCTCTGCACCTTCTTTACTTTGGGAGCACGTCGTAAATTACACATAGATACACTCTCACAGACCCGCACACCGCTCTCTCCTCACCCAAATTCCTCCCTTCCCAACAGTTGACCTCCATCCGTTGTTCCCTTTGCAAGCTGAACCCCAATGAGCACCCACAAAACTCCCTAACAAAACCCGACGTGTCCCATGTCTTTCTTGAACGTAACACAAAACATTCCCCCATACATGCACCATTTAAACACACACACACACAAACACTTCTATTGGGTGGCAATTTGGATCCAATCCTTCTCTTTTGGAACGGCCCAGGGGGGCGGGGAACCAAAACATGCAAACTTAACGAAAAGGAGGAAAGAGAGAAGAAAAAACAAAAAACAGAGGAAAGTGGAATGCTTGCTTAGCAAAATGGTTTTCCATTCAACAGGGATAACATTTCTCTCTGCTGTGCTGAATTTTTTACTTCCTGTTCTTATTTTGTGGGTAAATTTTTTTCTGTATTCAGATATCCTTTGGTTGTGTATTTCTTCCACTTTTTTTCTTGTACTAAAACTTGAAGCATGGTCTGTATTTTTTTACATTACCTAGTTTTTTCTGATGTAAAATCTCTCTCCGTAGAGACATACCCTGCTGAAATGTAATGTGCAGTAGCTGATACATCTTATTCATTGTATGCCGCTTCCGTTCTGTCGCCCTTCCACGGCATGGTGGGCCCCTGTTGCCTTTTGTATTGTGTGCATGACAACATTGTTACAACACAGTTCCACTAATACTAATATACAATCTCTCAATAAAGAAACTAGTTTTCCTATATTAACCTAGTGTGCTTTTTCTATTGCTGTCCCCCACCCCATTTATTGTTGTATTCCTGCTGTTTTAGATTATTTCCCCCCTACCCTGCCCCCGCTTCTCCACCCCCACCTTCTCCCCCATTTGAGTGAATGGATCTCTTTTTCTCTGTGCCACCAATATTGGGTTGGAGGGGGCGGAGTAGAGAGTATGAATGTTCTTTCTCCCATATCTACCTTCAAGCATTCTATAACCTGTGAATACCAACTCTCTCTCTCTTTCTCTCTCTTTCTCTCTAGATACACATCCTATATTATCTTTCCCCACCCTAGGTGGAGATGACTCTCTAATTGAGGTGCGCCAACCTTTTGCCAAGCTGCCCCCGTCCCCCGGCCAGGTGTCCCGAACATCTGGAGGGTGCCAAGTTGGCAAAAGGCTGGTCCTCAGAGCGCCCAAGACGAAAATGTAGAGAGGTATGCATATAAATTCACACACTGGTGAAAAGTCCAAAACTGTTAAAACGCAGGAGAAGCTTGCTAGCTACTGCGAAATCCCAACATGTACTGAACATCACACCAGGTTGCTAATCAGGGTGAACAGTGACACCAAAGTGGATGGGGCTGGGGAGAGAGAGAAAAAAAGATATATATTGACAAATAGCCACTGATTTTTTTAAAAAAAGTATCTCCTTCCTCTTCACGAGCCTTCCTTTTGAGTTTGAGGATTCATGTTCATTCCTGTAAGTAAAAAACCTTTAGTTGTTGGTAGCTAAGGATGACCTTGGGAAGACGGAGGGGTGGGAATGGAAGTGGGGGGTGGACAGGTGTGGGTTGCAAATGGATCCCTTAAGACATTAAATTATCCCCCTGGCCATACGCCACTCACAGCCAAAGGTCCTTGCAAGACTCTGAAAGAATAAGCACTAGATAGACCTTTAAACTATTACCTTGCCCAGGGCAAACCAAAGCGACCTACAACCAAACTAGATACCCATTCCACCTTCTTTCTCCCTCTGTTTATCGATGAACCAGCCTGTAGACAGCTGTCTTTGTGTGTGTGTTTCTGTGCGTGTGTACATCCATGCAACACATACATGTGCAGAGCAGGGGCCAAGGAACATCCCCCTCCCCCCGAAAAAAACCTATTTGCGGTTCAATCTGATTCATGCCTACTTGGAAGTAAGCCCCGCCTGTTTCCAGCAGGGCTTACTCTCAGGTAAGTCTGTGCAAGATTGCAGTCCTGGGGGATTATGCCCCAAACCAGCAGCCATGGTGAAGAGGGCACCCTTATGTAACACCTTGGTCCCGTCTTCCATTGCCTACGTGCCGGGAGAGAACGAAGGGCTAGACTTTTGAAGGGCTAGACAAAAGAAAGTCGAACCTCAGTCTCCCCTAGACAAAACCAGGAAGGGGGGGGCGGGGAAGAGAAAGTAAAAGGTCGTTAGGTTCACCCCTCTCCCATCGTCTTTCTTTCAGGTGGGGCGAAGAATAAATCCAGTTTGTGTTAAAACGTTCGAGACCACGCCAATGGTCTTGGAGAGGGAGGGGTGGAGAAAGGAGATTGAAAACCAAGTGGAGAAAATAAGCGTCTTTGTAGGAGGTGTCCCAGTTTGGGGGTGCATGGGGCCAAGCCCCTTTCCTGCTGGCTCCATCCTTCCTGCTTCACGCGCCTTCCCCCATGTATATCCTTAGTCAATCGTTTGGCCATTGCCTCCCTCCTTGTTTGACCATACGCAAGACACATCCGACATATTGCTTCTCCTCTCTCCCCCCCTCCTTCCGGACGTAGTGAATGCTCTTTAGGCCTTTGTTCTTGACGCTGTCCTAAGCCAGGTCTGGCAGCTTAGCTGTTTGCTGTGACACACATCCATCTTATTACCACACATGTTTTTTTTAATATATAAAAAAAACAAAACCAGAGCCAGGTTGTGCTAGCTTGCATGGAAGAAAGAAATATCCCTAGGTGCATGCTTTTTGCAAAGCCGTGTGTGTGTTTGTGTGTGTGTGTGTGTGTGTGTGTGGATGAGGCTGGCCATCCTTTAATGATGTGATTTTTTTTTTAATCCCTCCCCCTTCCTTCCCTTTCTCTCCCCCTTCTGCCTTTCTCCCCACCCTCCCACAATATAACCATTTTGATTTTCCTTTGGGGAATGAGAAGCCATAAACACAAGCCACCCACCTCGCCAGAGGTATCTGGTTCCTGGCTCCGGCCAGAGGGAAATATATGACTACGACAGCTATTTCCCACCCCACGCTTCTCCCCACCCCACCCCACTCCTCGCTCGACTCCGGCTTTTGTTCAGATAGCAGCAGTTTCGCTGCATCAACAGATAACCCTCCACCAGATATGGTCCTAGAGATTAATGCCCACGCAGATCAAAACCGTTCCTTTGCTGCAGCTGGGGGAGAGTTTCAGTGCTCTTAATAAGGCCGGGAAAGCGGCTCGGTTAATAGGAAGTCATGCTAAGTCATTTGTCATCTGAGTACCACGGCTGACCTATCTCGCCAGAAGCACATTCTTGGGAGAGCACAGGTGTATCTCTGCCACATCTCGCCATTAAACAACCCGAGGCCTCCATAGTTCACATCATTCATTGAAAGCATCTCCAACTGACCTCCCACAAGTCTTGGATATTCTGGTTTCCCCTCCCTCTTTTGTTTCGTTGACACTCAGTGTGAAATGTCTTGACAAGCACAGACCTCTGCCCCTGCTGTGGGCATGAATATTCACACCATATTAGGTTTTCTGGAGTCTATCTATCTATCTGGGGCACCTTAACCTAGCCAGGTCCCACCAACACACACCTGAGGGTCTCCAGGATGTACTAAGTGTGGTTGATGAGGGATAATTCTGGAGGCAGAGCTGGTGGTATTCCTTTGTCCATGTGTTCAGTTCAATGTGGAAGAACTTGGCACCCTGTGATTTCGTTTTAAACAAGCAGACATGTTGCTAGTTGAAGGTTGGAAATGTGTGCGGGTCTGCCAGATGTTCAGAAACTAACAGCGACATTGTGCTATGCATGTTTGCTCTGGCTGCAATCCTATTGCCTACTTGGAAGGAAGTCCCATAGAACTGAATGGGACATGTGTCTGAGAAGACATGGATAGGATTGTACTGTTGGTCCCACTGCACACAATGGACTTTACACGCAGGTAAGTGTGTCTAGATCCCTGGATCCGTATCTCTGACTATTCCTTGTCCCTACTGGCAATTGAAGCCCAATTCTATGTGCTTTCCTTGCTTTTTGCTTCCTTATTTTAAAGTCTCCTCAAACCTCCATTTAGAACAAATAATGCAATGTAAGCAAACCAAGGCCCGCCTAATAACAAGCTGGCACGGTTGTTTTCCGAACATGGGTTGTAGGAGTTGCCTTTTTAACATAATGCGATTGTTGTTGTTGCTTTAAAAAAAATAAATCATGTTGTCTGAGCACTCACATTACCCTAGGCTGGGTTAAGTCTGACAGATATAGGGCACATTGCGCAGGGAGCATAGCCTTGTGAACACTGTCAAAATGAGTCAGACCTCTGCAAACAGAATTCTCAAGCATCTTCAATCCAGGTCAACGTACAGTGGCCACGTAAGGATGGCCAGAAAAAAGGACAAAAGAGAGGACAGATTTGCATAAAATTAGCATTTGCTAATTTGTGTGTGTGTACGCACTTTTGGGAATGGTTACTGCAATTCAAGTACAGTGTTACCTTGGTTCTCGAACAGCTTAGTTGACGAATAAATCGGCTCCCGAATGCCGAAAACTTGGAAGTAAGTGTTCTGGTTTTTGAATGCTTTTTGGAAGCTGAACATTTGATGTCGCTTCCGCCTGAGTTCAGGAAGCTCCTGCAGCCAATCGGAAGCCGCGCCTTGGTTTTCGAACGGTTTGGGGGAGTTGAACGGATTTCCAGAATGGATTAAGTTCGAGAACCAAGGTTCCACTGTAGATATAAATGCAGGTTGACATGGTGGCGAAGACATTGACCCGGTGACCTGTGTCCCAGCTCAGTCTGCTATCCAGTCGGTACAGCACGAGACTCTCTTTTTTGTGTGTGTTATTATTTTATTTTATTTTTTGGGAAAAGATTTTATTATTAAAATAATTCAGCATTAATACACACATATTGCAAATATACAAGCATACAAACATACATTTCATACAATCCTTAAAAATGTTCAAACATACCTACACTCAATCCCACAGATAATTCCTTTTCACATCACCATCCACCACCCCTCACCCCACCTTTGTGTTAGACTTCCAATCTACTCAGTTGCAATTTCTTTCCACTTCTATTACTTTCTTTCACACACCTTTAACCTGATTTCATGCTTCTTTTTCTGTTACACATTGTTATCCATCTTATTTAGTATTTCAGTATTTAAAACGGAACTTGTTTATTCTAATAGGAGTTCTGATTTTTCAGTATGGTTTTGCAAGTATCCTTTAAACACCTTCCAGTCCCTGTCTATCTTCTCTTTTGAGATCCTTCCAATTTCTCCCATTGTTTTGGATATATTGTAATACCCCAATAATTTAGCAAGCCAAAGACTCAGCACAAGACTCTTAATCTCTTAATCTCAAGGTTGTGGGTTTGGGCCCCACTTCGAGCAAAAAGATTCCTGCATTGTTGCAGGGGGTTGGAATAGATGACCCTCATGGTCCCTTCCAGTTCTACAATTCTGTGTTGAGGGGCCACTTCAAGGTCTTTGATATCCCCACGTACCGCGTTCTTTGACTTGAAACCAGACTCGGACTGGGCAGGCCTTCAAATAGAGAACTGTCTGTTGCAAAATAGAAGAAATGCCATCCTAGGTTAACTGTGCAAAAGGGGCTCTATTGCTGTGCCCTGATTTCTTCCTTTCTTTTTTAAAAGGAATATATGGGATCTGTAGTGTGCCTTATGTCACATGCCAGCAGCTGGAGTGTTCTCTAAAATGGGAGACTGATCCTTTTCAATGGATATTCTTGATCAGGTCGAGGACCTGAAAAGTGGATCTTGAGCAGAGATGAAATCCCCGTGCTTGGTCATCTGAGGAACAGACCTGGAGCCCTCTTTGATGAAGCAATCCCATGCGACGCCTACTTGGAAGTAAGCCCTACTGAGCTCAATGGGACTTCACGGTGCAATCCGATCCATGTCTACTCAGAGGTAAGTCCCACTGAGTTCAGCAAGGCTTACTCCCAGGTAAGTGTGTATAGGATTGTAACTGTAGGGACTTCTTCTTTTTCTTAGCATTTCAATCCCAAATAGGGGCACTGGTTTTTATTCTGCTCAGCGCTGTGTGCAGGGTTCCACTAGTGTACAAGCACATCGCACAAATGTGGCATTTTATATTGGGTTCGGCAAGCACCACCACAATGTGCAGCTGTTTCTTTTTGAAAAAGGAGTTGTTTCTATCCCTTGAAAGGGCCAAGGAAGTTTTGCAAGCATCTGGGCCATGGGTAGGCAAACTAAGGCCCAGGGGCCGGATCTGGCCCAATCGCCTGCTAAATCCGGCCCGCGGACGGTCCGGAAATCAGCGTGTTTTTACATGAGTACAACGTGTCCTTTTATTTACAATGCATCTCTGGGTTATTTGTGGGGCATAGGAATCCGTTCATTATTATTTTTTCAAAATATAGTCCAGCCCCCCACAAGGTCTGAGGGACAGTGGACCGGCCCCCTGCTGAAAAAGTTTGCTGACCCCTGATCTGGGCCATCTCTGGTGAAAGCGCAGAGCTGGTAGTGTTTGTCATCACAGCAGTGTGCATATCCTGCTTTGTCCTCCTCAATGATTACCAGAAAAATAATAACCATTATGCAAATATTATGCCCGGTTGTATATAAACCAGGAGCTTTCCTTGATGCAGAGATTAGGTTTGCTCACTGTTCAGGGTGGTGGTTGTTTTCATTTCTTGCTTTGCGTTAAATTCACATCTCCAATGCACATTCACCTCTGCCCTTGCAAACAAGAACCAGGACCACCAAATCAGAGCTCCATTGCCCCCTGAACCGAGAACTCCTGGTGTCAGTAGGGTGATCTCATTGTGGTCTTTGTGGGTGCTATTTCTGTGGCATCAATCCAACAGACCTTCTTTGCAACCTGCTATGACAAATCAGGGAAAGGCAGGGCCGGCACTTCAATAAGGCAGAATGAGGTGGCTGCCTCAAGCCGGCAGATATTGGATGCCATGAAATGGCAGCAAATTTGGTTTGATATTGTAATTTTACTGCTAGGGAGCGGGAGGGGTGCTTGTGGGATTTCCTGCCTCAGGTGCCCATATAACTTGGGTGGCCTTGGATAGTTTGACCTGTGGGGGAGGGACAATTTTCTGCTCTGCCTCAGGCAGAAAAAGGTCCTGAGAGGTGCCGGAACTGAGTTCTGGGGAGTTCTAGCTGGAAAAAAGCCCTGTCCCAAAACGATGCATTCTGGGAATGGTGGCAGTGACCAGAGTCGCAAGAGGCCAACTAGAGACCAGTGGACACAAGATATATTGTATTTCTTAAATCAGGGGTAGGCAACCTAAGGCCCAATCGCCTTCTAAATCCAGCCCGTGGACGGTTCGTTAATCAGCGTGTTTTTACATGAGTAGAATGTATCCTTTCATTTAAAATGCATCTCTGGGTTGTTTGTGGGGCATAGGAATTCGTTCATTCCCCCACCATATAGTCCGGCCCACCACATGGTCTGAGGGACAGTGGACCAGCCCACGGCTGAAAAAGGTTGCTGACCCCTGTCTTAAATAAATATTCTTTTGATTAAAGAAAAGAAGAAAAGATAACAGGCACTCATGTTTTTCTCCTACTAGGGGCTTTAGGAAGGAAGGTGGGTTTATAGGGCTAAGCCCCCATCCTCAGTCCATCATATAGATGTTATCTGCAAAAAAAGAGACTGAGATGCGTTAGCACATTCTTATTATTAACTATTATTATGACATTTATAAGGTAAAGGTAAAGGGTCCCCTGACCATTAGGTCCAGTCATGACCGATTCTGGGGTTGCAGCGCTCATCTCGCTTTATTGGCTGAGGGAGCCGGCGTACAGCTTCCGGGTCATGTGGGCAGCATGACTAAGCCGCTTCTGGCGAACCAGAGCAGGGCACAGAAACACCGTTTACCTTCCCGCCGGAGCGGTACCTATTTATCTACTTGCACTGTGACGTGCTTTCGAACTGCTAGGTTAGTAGGAGCAGGGACTGAGCAACAGGAGCTCACCCCGTCGCGGGGATTCAAACCGCTGACCTTCTAATCGGCAAGCCCTAGGCTCTGTGGTTTAACCCACAGTGCCACCCGCATCCCATGACATTTATATCCCACCTTTTTCTCTAAGGATCTTAAGGTGGTGTACAATGTTCTCCCTCTCCTCATTTAATCCACACAACAGACCTGTGCGGACCCTCATTTAACAACCACAGCAGGTAGGTTAGACTGACAGACTGTGACTGACAGACAGTGAGCTTCATGACCAAGCGGGGATTCAAACCTTGGTCTGCTAGGTCCTTGCCTGACACTCCCTACTATCACTGGCTAGTTTGGTCAAAAATGGCCAGTTTGGTCCTAGATGTGACATTTGGGGCTATAAACTGCCTTACAGTAATGCTTTAGACCATGGGTAGGCAAACTAAGGCTCATGGACTGGATCCGGCCCAATTGCCTTCTAAATCCAGCCCACAGACAGTCCGGGAATCGGCGTGTTTTTACATGAGTAGAATGTGTGCTTTTATTTAAAATGCATCTCTGGGTTATTTGTGGGGCATAGGAATTCGTTCATTTCCCCCCAAAAAATATAGTCCGGCCCCCCACAAGGTCTGATGGACAGTGGACCGGCCCTCTGCCAGAAAAGTTTGCTGACCCCTGCTTTAGGCACCTGCTCCTAATGGATCTCTGGCCGTGAGGGGCCCTTTCCATCGCTTCCTAACTGAACCTGAAGTAAAATAATAATCTTGAGATGTTCAGGATTGCACCTGGCACCTTCTGCATCTTGTCACTGCTGTGCCCTTCTTCTGAGCCCACCTGACGGGGGGGGGGGCGTTGCTGGAGCCAGGATCAAAAGAGCAATTGGAGTCCCACAACCAAGGAGTCCTCAAGTCCCATCAGAGGTAGGGAGCGATGGCAGCCTTGAAGAACTCAGGGGAGGGAAGCTCTCAGGGGAGATTTGGCGTGGTTGATTTGGCTGAGGACGTGACTGGGATCATAGCCAAGCCGTGCCGATTCCCTGCAAAGCAAGGTGGGAGGCAAGTTTAAAGAATCAGTGGTTGCTAGTGGCGATGGCTGCGTTCTACCTCCAACTTTCAGAATGCCTCTGAGTGCAAGTTTCTGGAAACACCAGGAAGGGAGAGGGCTGTTGCAGACTTTCCTAGCCCAAGGTCACCCAGTGAGTTTCGTGATGGAGCGGGGATTTGAATTATGGCTTCCCAAGTCCTAGTCTGACACTCTAACTAACCACTATATCAGACTGAATCAGACATCTGATTAGCCACTGTGAAAACAGGAAGCTGGAGTAGATGGGCTGTTGGCATACTCGCCAATATTTCTCCGATGAAAATAGGGGTGTCCTATTCATGTGGGTGGCGCTGTGGTCTAAACCACAGAGCCTAGGGCTTGCAGATCAGAAGGTCGGTGGTTCAAATCCCCACGACGGGGTGAGCCCCCATTGCTCGGTCCCTGCTCCTGCCAACCTAGCAGTTCGAAAGCACGTCAAAGTTCAAGTAGATAAATAGGTACCTCTCTGGAGGGAAGGTAAACGGCGTTTCTGTGCTCTGCTCTGGTTCGCCAGAAGCGGCTTAGTCATGCTGGCCACATGACCCGGAAGCTGTACGCCGGCTTCCTCGGTCAATAAAGCAAGATGAGCGCCGCAACCCCAGTTTCAGCCACGACTGGACCTAATGGTCAGGGGTCCCTTTACCTTTACCTCTACTCTTAAAAAAAAAAGTTTTTAGGTGTCCTTGGAGGAGGAAAAAGTGAGTTATAAAAGCGATAAATAATTGTTATTGGGGTAAAGTGGGGCTCCCCACATCCATGTATGCTGCTCTGGCAGTGGGGCCATCACCAGGGGCAGAGGAAGGGGGGGTGCGGTCCGCCCTGGGTGTCACCACTGAGGGGGATGGCAAAATGACAGGCAGCACTCACCGTGGGGCCTGCAGAGTGCCCGAGCCATGGGTCTCTCCTGGGAGTGACACGGTGGCTTGGGCACCTGCAGGCTCCACGCTGCCCCAAATGGTCTGCCCGCTGCCTCCCCCTCAGCTGTAGGGCGGCTGAGTGGGAGGAGGTAGGCAGACTCCTGCCCTGTCTGGCCCTGCCCTTGGGCACAGGGCATGTGCGCTGCCCCTGGCGCCCGATTGGCTTGCTCCACTGGCCATCACTTCCGTTCTGGAAACAAAAACCCGAAAGACATGTCCTCTGCCCCTCTCCACTGCCCCGCAGTCAGGCTACAGAAGCACATCTCTGGTGCCCCGGGGCAGTGCCCTTCTTGTAAGCTTCTGGAGCCATCTGGCCGGCTGCTGTTGGAACAAGACAACCTGCTAGCCTAGCGGCACCTCAGTGTCATCCGGCAAAGCCATCTTTATTATTCCAATTGCGTCTCTGCGTTGGCTTCGAGACAGCAATCCTCCATATCTTTTTATAGCGTTTAACAAATTCCATTAAAACCAATGGGGCTTATTTGTAAGTAAATGTGCTTAGAATCAACCTGTTACGATCGTCGCCATCTCCTCTCTCCCTTTACGCCTTCTGTTTTAGATTACTTTTGGGGCGGGCGGGGCAGAACGATTTCGTGGGAAAGGGACTGCCGGGACTTCGGCAACGCTCACCTTCAGACGTTCTTGTTTCCAGCACATGCAACATGCCATAATCTCCGCCTGAATCTTCCTAGAACCATCTTGTGCACCTCCTTCCACAGTATGGCAAACGACTAGCATTAAATTCTTTTGTGGAGGACGGGCGTTGGCTCTTCAACGCCGCCCTTGCACGACGGCGCTCCGTTTCAAAATGGCAAAATGCTTCGTGTCCACAGTGGATTATTGTCCACAGTGGATGACAGCAGTATCTCTTCAGGATTTCTCTCTGCCAGGGACTGAACCAGAGACATCATCATCATCATCATCATCATCATCATCATCATAATAATAATAGTTGGTCCCTTACCTTTCCCGCCCCGACCTGGCCACAGTGATCCATGCGACGGTCATCTCCAGGCTTGACTACTGTAATTTGCTCTATGCGGGGCTGCCCTTGAAGCTGTCCCAGAAACTCCAGCGGGTGCAGAATGCTGCAGCGAGGCTCCTCACGGGGTCTCTGCCATGGGAGCATATTCACCCAGTGCTTTTCCAGCTGCACTGGCTCCCGGTGGAGTACAGGGTCAGATTTAAGGTGCTGCTTTTGACCTTTAAAGCCCTTCACAGCCTAGGACCCTCATACCTACGGGACTGCCTCTCCCGGTATGCCCCACGGAGAGCCTCAAGGTCCATAAATAGCAACACCTTAGTGGTCCCAGGCCCTAAGGAAGTTAGATTAGCTTCAACCAAAGCCAGGGCCTTTTCAACTCTGGCTCCGGTCTGGTGGAACGCTCTGCCTCATGAGACCAGGGCCCTGCAGGATCTGATTTCTTTCCGCAGGGCCTGTAAGACAGAGTTGTTCCGCCTGCCCTTTGGCTTGGAGCCAATTTGATTCCCTCCCTCCCTCTCTTTCTTTTTTCTTTTCCTTCTCCTCCTGCGATGAGGCTACATTTTAATATTTTAATGTTCCATTATTTTAATGTTGTATTTTATTTTTGTTTTAAAGTTGTAATCATTCATCTTGTTTTTATTATTGCTTGTAAGCCGCTCTGAGCCCGGCCTTGGCTGGGGAGGGCGGGGTATAAATAAAAAAATATTATTATTATTATTATTATTATTATTATTACCCTGCCCATCTGGCTGGGTTATCCCAGCCACTCTGAGTGGCTCCCAACAGAATATTAAAAACACGGCAAAGCATCAAACATCAAAAACTTCCCTAAACAGGGCTGCCTTCAGATGTCTTCTAAAAGTCACAGGTAGGTAGCCGTGTTGGTCTGCCGTAGTCGAAACAAAATAAAAAAAATCCTTCCAGTAACACCTTAGAGACCAACTAAGTTTGTTATTGGTATGAGCTTTCGTGTGCATGCAAGACGTATCTTAACCATCTTCCACCATTAGTCATGCTTGCCAGGTGAGAGTTGGATACTGAGCTCTTGGCACTTCAGGGCAATTTAATCTCTGATTCTTTTCACAGCCCAGGGTGGCAGGGATGCAAATGAGGGCTGGATCGTAGAATTGTAGAGTTGGAAGGGACCCCAAAGGTCATTTGGTGCAACCCCCTGAATATATACAATCCGTATCATCACAGAATAGTGCCCTTCCCCATGAATATGCTCAGCAACATGTCATTGAAGCAATCCTATACATCATTCTGCTTTATTCGTTATTCCGCTATGCATCCCCAATGTTATTGCATTATGTCATCTGGAGGGACACTCTTGTCCATCCCCACCCCCTCCAAAAAAACTTTTGCAAGCAGCATTCAGCGTACGGGATCACCTATAACTGTCCTGATACCATTCGAGGTGGGCTGTAGGCTAGAGCATGGAGACTTTGGGAAAGTGCCTTCCTCATCCTCCTGCCTCCTTTCTCTGGCGCCCCCTACTGTTGGTCTCCTTGCCTCCTGCCCAACCATAGGCAATGGACACCAGGTGCCGCTGAGTAAAGGCTTTTAAGCCGTCTCTGCTATGGGGAGTGAGAAGGATGGACCTGGGGCTGCAATCCTTTTACACACCTGCCTTGAGAAATCTTGTGGAAAGCGGTTTTTGACTGGCAAAACACAACATGCAGTCTGCTCAGCAGACAATGACTAGGGGCCCAACCAGGCTACACTTTTATTGCTGAAAGGATGCAGCAACATGCGATGAATACATTAACAGTGTGTTTATATTGGGCAGTAAGCCTATCTTCTCCATTTCTCCTGTTTCCACATTACGGGATCCACACAAACTTAATAATAATAATAATAATAATTTATTTATACCCCGCCCATCTGGCTGGGTTTCCCCAGCCACTTTGGGCGGCTTCCAACAAAGTATTAAAATACAGTAGTCTGTAAAACATTAAAAGCTTCCCTGAAGAGGGCTGCCTTCAGATGTCTTCTGGAAGTCTGGTAGTTTTTCTTCTCTTTGACATCTGGTGGGAGGGCGTTCCACAGGGCAGGTGCCACTACCGAGAAGGCCCTCTGCCTGGTTCCCTGTAACTTGGCTTCTCACAGTGAGGGAACCACCAGAAGGCCCTTGGAGCTGGACCTCAGTGTCTGGGCAGAACGATGGGGGTGGAGACGCTCCTTCAGGTATACTGGGACGAGGCCGTTTAGGGCTTTAAAGGTCAACATCAACACTTTGAATTGTGCTCAGAAACGTACTGGGAGCCAATGTAGGTCTTTCAAGACTGATGTTATGTGGTCTCGGCGGCCGCTCCCAGTCACCAGTCTAGCTGCCGCATTCTGGATTAGTTGTAGTTTCCGGGTCACCTTCAAAGGTAACCCCACGTAGACGTGGATGCACAAAACACTTTAAAAAGAAGAGAAATCAAGGTTCCTTGCACTTCAGTCTGCTCTGGTCTCCCTCTTTCTTCCCATCTAGGGCAGCCCTGCCCTCTGCCTGCCCCTCAGAGCTTCTGCGTCACACAGAGCCAACTGTATCCTCTCTTCCTCTTCCATACTCCAGCAGCCTCTATAATCTGCCCAAGGAAGGAGGCTGGCAGAATTAGCCACAGAGAGGCAGCAGGATGCTCCTTTGCAGCTGCCCCCAGTCATCACTACTCAGTACAAACCCCAGCTCATCTTCCCTCCAATGCTTGGCAGCAGAGAGGCTGGTGGGGGAAACAGGGACATTCCAGGATCAAATAAGAAGCTGGAATGGTTTTTGTAATTCCAGGACTATCGCTGGAAAATAGGGGCACTTGGAAGGCATAAAAAGGTAAAGGTACCCCTGACCGTTAGGTCCAGTCACGGACGAATCTGGGGTTGCGGCGCTCATCTCGCTCTATAGGCTGAGGGAGCCGGCGTTTGTTCGCAGACAGCTTCCAGGTCATGTGGCCAGCATGACTAAGCTGCCTCTGGCGAACCAGAGCAGCACACGGAAACACCGTTTACCTTCCTGCCGGAGCGGTACCTATTAATCTACTTGCACTTTGACGTGCTTTCGAACTGCTAGGTTGGCAGGAGCTGGGACTGAGCAACGAGAGCTCACCCCGTCGCAGGGATTCGAACCGCTGACCTTCTGATCGGCAAGCCCTAGGCTCTGTGGTTTAACCCACAGTGCCATCTGCGTCCCTCATCTTGGAAGGCATAGTAGTGTATTAAAAGCGCAAATTGAAAACAAACATAAAAAGTTCCAGGGTTTTTGCAGAAACCCCATGGCGTGCACAGATCATGGCCAAAAGCAGTAGAACTTCCCAAGAATGTTTGCAAGCACATACAGAGAGAGTATTGAAAATGCCGTCGTGTATAACTGGCCCGATAGCATCGTGAGAGCAAATCATGATGGAAGCATGATTGAAAAGGAAGTCTGAAGACGGCCTCAAGGAGACTCAAAGGAGCTGAGCTCTTGCAAAGGCTTTCAGGGAAGAGTGAGTGGGAGGAGGCTCTGGGAGTGAGCACCTTCTGCAATAAGATCTGTCAACTCTGTGGGGATGGGGTTCACTAGATATGCTAGCGGAGAGGCTGTTTGTAGAGTCACTCATATGTGCTGCTGGTTTGATGAGCTCTGTCAGCAGGCATCTGTTTCGGGGTGGATAGATTTTGACAAACTGCTTTCTTCTGCAAGATCTAACACCCTGGATTCTCTCAGTACTGTGCTTTTGAAAAAAGAACCTCTCTCCTTTCCTGGGTTGAACTTTCCAGGCTGAATGTGGGGTGTCTTTGTGCACCAGGCTGCGTTTGCCACATGCAGACCTGAGGCAGCAGCTTCTGGGCTGGAGTGGTGGCTAGAGAGTTTGAACCAAGGTCCTGAGTTTGAATCCCTACCCTGAGTGACCCCGGGCAAGTCGCTACTTCTCAGCCTAGTTTTGCAAGTTCCACCTTCTCAGGTCCTGACGAGCCTGGCAAACTTTAAGTCACCCTTTGCAAAAATAAAAATAAAAATGGATATTTATATTTGCATGCCATGACCGCCTTCAAATGGCAAGCATTGGAAAAAAAATGCCCCTGTTTCAAGTTTAGGCAGATATTGTGTCACTTTTTTTCAAAGAGACCAGCTGGGAGAGGGAAAGGGAGAGGGGTTAAATCCTGTTCCTTCTTTTGCATCCCAAGCAGGGCATCTGCTTTACAGCAAGCCTTGCATTTGTTGTGTGACTGCACAGTGTGTGTGTGTGTGTGTGTGTGTGTGTGTGTGTGTGTGTGTGTGTGTGTGTGTGTGTGTGTGTGTGTGTGTGAGAGAGAGAGAGAGAGAGAGAGAGAGAGAGCATGTAAGATTTCATTTTGTCTTCTGGTTCTGCTGGGACCCCACCAGAGACGGGATATGGAGGGAGAAATCCAACTCAGTTCTCATTTAAAGGCAGACTTGCTGAATCTGCAGTTTCCCAAACAATACATGAACTGATGCTTTAGGTGAGATTCCTACATTGCAGGGAGTTGGACTAGATGACACTTGGGACCATAGCTGTCAACGTTTCCCTTTTTGAAAGGGAAATTCCCTTATTCCGAATAGGATTCCTCGCAAGACAAGGGAAAAGTTGACAGCAGCTTGGGACCCTTGGGACCCTTCCAATTCTACAATTCTTGGAATTTTTCAACACAGTTCTCCTCCCAAGTAACTTGTGCAAAAATGCAAAATAATAATAATAATAATAATAATAATAATAATAATATACTCCACCCATCAGGCTGGGTCTCCCCAGCCACTCTAGGCGGCTTCCAACAAAATATTTAAAATACAATAAAACATCATACATTTAAAAAATCCCTAAACAGGGCTGCCTTCAGATGTCTTCTAATACAGTGGTACCTCTGGTTGCGAACGGGATCCATTCCGGAGGCCCATTCGCAACGTGAAAAGCCCGCAACCTGAAGCGCCGTATCTGTGCAGGTGCGTGGCATGATTTGGCACTTGTGTGCATGTGCAAAGCGTGATTTAGTGCTAGTGCGCATGTGCGAGCGGCGAAACCCAGAGGTAACCCTTTCCGATACTTCCGGGTCGCTGCGGGACGCAACCTGAAAAAATGTACATGAAGCAAATGTAACATGAGGTATGACTGTGATGAGTTATTTCCTTGATGTCGGATGGGAGGGTGTTCCACAGAGCGGGTGCCACCACTGAGAAGGCCCTCTGCCTGGTCCCCTGTAACCTCACTTCCTGCAGTGAGGGAACTGGTGCTGGACCTCAGTGTCCGGGCAGAACGATGGGGTTGGAGACACTCCTTCAGGTATACTGGACCAAGGCCGTTTAGGGCTTTAAAGGTCAGGACCAACACTTTGAATTGTGCTCGGAAACGTACTGGGAACCCTTGGAAGTCTTGGTGCCAGGTTTTGGAGAGCACTTGGGCAAGACGGGGGCCTCCTACCCCTGAGTAGAACCACCTCATTCTCATTGCTATTGCTGCTGTCCGTCCATTTGCCCTGTGGCCCTGAGCCCAATGTGCACCGCTGCCCAGCGTTTCTCAAACTCGGGTCTCCCAACTGGTGTTGGACTACAATTCCCGTCATTCCTGACCATTTATCCTGCTAGCTAGGGATGCTGGGCATTGCAGTCTAACAACAGCTGGAGATCCAAGTTTGAGAAACAATGGGAGGGTCAGAGAGAGCTTATGTAGTCTGTCGCTCCTCCTGCAACGCTTAGGAACTCAAGACACTGCCTTACTCCGAGTTAAGCCATTGGTCTATGTAGCTCAATATTGCCTACGCTGAGCATGTGCTCAGCTTTGGTCCTTCATCTCTTTGGATGCAGCAGGTGAGCAGTCATTGGCAGCAAGGAGAAAAGAATAGCAGTAGGGGCTGCCCTACCATTGGGCAGAGTGAGGCGGTTGCCTCAGGTGGCAAATGCCGGGGGGCAGGTTGTGGAGATCCATAGTGAGCTGTTCAGAGGACAGAGCTGTGTGTCTCATCACACAATCGGCCGTACAGCCGCTATGCTAGCCTTCTGTCTTCAGGCGCAGTGGGAAACAGGGCACTGGTGGGAAGGGATGGAGGGCATCATCCTGTCCTCAGCCTGCAAAATGTCTGGTGCTCTTGGGGCTGGTGGTGGGCGCCCTGCCAGAGCCTTTGTGCAATGATGTCAGCGGCTGGAGCCATCCTTGTTAGATATCGGTCCTGGTTCGCCTTCATTCTGGGCAGAGTCACGGCACGGTCGCCTTTCCGGCGACATCTTCGTTAACTCCCGATGACTTCCTCTGTGGATCATTAACTCTGATGAAACAACAGGCAGCATCTGCCTTTGCGCTCTTTCATCTGAAGGACTGGGAAACTCCGCGGGAGTGATGATATTATTTCAAGTGCACACAGCCCTGGAGTGATTGTTCTGCTGGTGGCTTGGAGGGTTCTCTTTCTTGTCCTCCTCTTCCTCCTCCTCCTTTGAATTGTGCATAGCGGTTAAAGGCTAAATAAGGTAGCACAGAAAGCCCACGGGATGCATTTAATTGCCACAGATTTGTAAGGGAATCTGAGCTGTAGTACTCACCGTCCATAAGAAGGGGACGATGGGAATCAAGCGTTCACCTGGAGGCAGTGCTGAAATAGCAGAACGGAGGATGCAATGAGCTGAGGGTGGTCAGTCTCAGTGTCTCATTCTTTTTCAACCTTTTTCACCACATTTCCACACTACGATTTATTTTTGGGGAAACTTACCAGCAATTTAATACGCATTTCTCTCAATATTTCCCGCATGAAATCTTGCCCAGTGTGCACATTTTTGCAAGCTGTTCCCCTTAATGCAACACATATTCCATTAACGTGTGCATTTCACGTTCTCTCTCTTGTAGCGCATGCATTTCTGTGCATATGTTTTGTGGGCGAGGATTGGAGATCTGTATCACAAAAATGGCATAAGAGAGCACAAATTAGGAACGGGCTAGGTCTTCCACATCTCTATGAACTCTTGTCCCACCACCACAGTTAGCAATCAGCATGAATGGGGTCCACACACGTGACGCCAGGTGACCCATTTTTGCATAGTGCTGCGGGTGTTGCAATGATGTCAGGTGATTGGCAGGCGGGTGGCCACACCCACCTGTCAAACATGGCCTGCGGGGTAGGGGAGATAAGAACCCACCTTTCTGATGGGATCTGCTTCCCTACTTTTGGCCTAGAGCAGGGACGTCCAACTCCTAAGAGACAGCGATCTACTCACAGAATAAAAAACTGGCAGTGATCTACCCCTTTTTTGGGAGTTCGGGTCAAAGTTGTTGTGCCTTTTTTTAGGGGGGTATTTTGACCTTTTTTGGGGGGGAGTTCAGGTCAAAGTTGTTCAGCTTTGCTTAGGGAGAAAAGTCAAAGCTGTTGACCTTTTTTTAGAGGGGCACCTCAACAATGTTGAGCTTTCATTAGAGGGAAAAGGGAAAAGTCGCTCAACAAAAGATTGAGCAGGAAACAAACAGCCTCACAGCGAAAACTCCATCTTCCATTCTAGCAATCAGGTGCAAATGGAGAATGGTGTGAGGGGGTGGGGCTGTATCCTCTTTTCCCCCCCGCAAAGGAAAAAGAACCTGCGATAGACCCAAACCTCCCAGGGATCAATCAGTCGATCGCTGTTGACCGGTTGGGCATCCCTGGCCTAGAACATCCAGCATGCCATGTCTCCAGTTTCTTGGGTCTGAGAGAGGTGGGGAGGTTATTATCCCCTGGAAGGCGCATATCTGCAGTTTGGGGGTGCTCCTGGATTTGACACTGTCATTGGAGGCTCAGGTGATTTCATGGCTAGGAGTTCCTTTTCCCAAGTCCAGCTTGACAGCCCCTGTTGAACAGAGATGACTTGGCCACTGTCCTCTATGCTTATATAATAAGGGGTCTGAACACTCATCCCCCACCACCACTTTCTGAACGCGGCCCAGGAGGAAGGAGCAGAACCACTGTATGACAGTGCCCCCAGCTCCCAGTCCCTCTAGACGGTCCAGAAGGATGTTATGGTCAATGGTATCAAACACCGCTGAGAGATCCAGCAGAACTAGGAAACAGCTCTCACCTTTGTCCCTAGCCAGCTGGAGATCATTGACCAGTGCGACCAAGGCAGTTTCAGTCCCATGATGAGGCCTTATGTCCTTACAATTTCAATCTTGTAGTTTTAAACTGTTGTGACCCACACTCAGACCTTTTCAAAAAGCCTTTGCCTTGCACCTTCTTTACTGCCCCCCCTTTCCCCTATTGTTAAATCCACATTAAATCTCAGCCTTTAATAAGCGCCTCTTAAACCCGTCCATTAATTCCTTTTTAATAAGCCTTCCTTAGTCACCCCTTCCAAGGATTCCTGGCAAGACAATGGTGTCTCTTGGCTTCAGAATGGGTTTCAAGGCTGTGCTTGCTGTGGCTGCTGGCTGGCCGGGTGGAGGGGTTCACAAATTTGGCTCTTGGGAGGGCTCTCACGCCACGCCAAAAGACGCCTTGCCAGATCTGGTGGAGGAATGTGCGATGATGATCGCTGCATCTACTTAGCAGGAAATCAAAGCGGCGCTTAATCATGAATGGCGTTATCTTTTTCTGCAAAGTCTGCAGTATGATGAATCACTCGCTTCTAAATTGATGGCTGAATGAAGCTGCCTCTTCGCTTGCTCCCTGGCTAAACCGCCCTTCCATTCACTTCTCCTTTTTATAATGCTGGTAAATACTGAATCCCAGTTCCCGAGTACGCTGCTTTAGTGCATGAGTAGGGCCCAATAAATTCCTTTAACAGGGCAAAATTTTATTCAACATGAGGAGGAACGGTTGCATTGGGAGACGTTTATAGCTCTCCGACAGCTCCAGAGACAGCGGTGATTTTAATTGTTTCCCCCCACAAGAAACATTAAAACACACTCACTCTCACACACGGTGTCTATCCTGGGAATCAGCAAATTCACAGCCGTTTGCTAACTTCATGAAGCCCCTCTGGTAATTTTTCGAGCATCACCACCAAATTCCACCCAGGATGGAACCCAGTGCAAAATCTGTGGTTCAGTTGGCTCACGGAGTAGTTTACGGTGCAAGCTTGAAGTGATGGTGCCGCCATCTTTGCTTAATTAAGAACCTGCCGTGTCCACATGTGAAGCAGAGCGGTGAGGTCTGATTTCATCTCCCCTCCCCACAGAACTCCAAGAAAGGGGAAGTCTCCAGATGCTATGGGCCTCTCCATCAGCCTCAACTAGCATGACCAAAAGTCAGGAGTGATGGCAATACTAAGCAAGCAACATCTAAAGGGCCATGGACTCCTCAGCCCTGCCTTACATCCCATAGTCTCTGCTAAGCTGGTTGCTATGTACTGGAAGATATGGGTCATGGGGGGTAGAGTGTGGGGAGGTCAGGTTGGGGGGAGTGTGGAATAATCTGGCCTCCATCTACATGCTGCTTGTGATGTTAACATTAACCCTCATCCCCACAAATGCCCTCTGTTCTATACAAAAAATGTGATTACATAAATATGGGTGCTCCTAGATTTACAGTGGTACCTTGGGTTACATACGCTTCAGGTTGCATACGCTTCAGGTTACAGACTCCGCTAACCCAGAAATAGTACCTTGGGTTAAGAACTTTGCTTCAGGATGAGAACAGAAATTGCGCAGCAGCAGCAGGAGGCCCCATTAGCTAAAGTGGTGCTTCAGGTTAAGAATAGTTTCAGGTTAAGAATGGACCTCCGGAACGAATTAAGTACTTAAACCGAGGTACCACTGTGTTTGGGTGTCTTCTTCTTCTTCTTCTTCTTCTTCTTCTTCTTCTTCTTCTTCTTCTTCTTCTTCTTCTCTTCCTTCCCTCCCTTCCCCCTATGGTCCCAGGGTGAGTTACAACATAAAGAACACAACATAGGGTTTCAATCAACATTGTTGGCATTGGTCTGTCTCAGGAGACAATGGAGGAGTGTACCTTTTGGGGGTGGAGTCAAACCATAGGAGAGATACAGGAGAGACATGGTTTGTTGCAGCTGGGGCAGATGAAGGTGTCCGGTTTTGCTGCTGCAGGTGCACCATGGTGAAAGGCTTCCCACCTGCACAAACAGGACTTCCGCATTCTCTTCCCTCTGTGTGCCCCTAAATCTGTTTTGAGGATTCCTCCAAACCTCTGGAGCAGATTCAGAGCCTATGTGTGCACCGGTGTGTGGGGGACGGGGGACGGGGGATGATGACTGTCAGACTACTGCTTGCTTGCCTGGATGGAGTGATGTACCTGTGCAGAAACCTCTGGCTTTTGCAAGGTACAAAGGTAAGAATCTCATTTTCTGCTCCTCTGACCTCTGCCTCTGTCACCCCTGGAATATGGCCCCAGAAGGTTCTCCATGAAGGAATGTGGATCAGTTTTAAGACCTCAAGCAATAGGCTAAGATATGTTCAATTTGCATAATATATACAGGAAGTAGAATTTAGCTTTGTGTGGTGCAGAATTTGGGTCTCCCAGCTTGGTGCAAAATTCTGATTTATTTATTTATCGGTAAGCTCAGAGTGTCCACGGACGTGGCCGTGAGTGACACCGTGATGGCAGCAGAGTTAATACAGAGCAGCAAAATGCTATAAAAGTGTCAGTCCCATAGCTACACGAGGCGAAGGAATCAGCTTTGTTATCTTGTACAACTGTTCTCTGCAATATCCCACAAATCTCCAGAGAGGCTGAGATAAGAAATGGGTTTCTTTGCTGAGGAGCAATACGGAGAAAATGTGACATATAATGACATATAATGATGAGAGGGAAAACGAAAGGCAAGAGCTCTCAGGGTAGGCCTGGACTCGGGATTTCAGAGGCACGGTAGCCAACATTTTGATTATAAAAATTCTGGCTGATGGGTAGGGTTAGGAGATGGAGCCCTAGCAGATGCTGAGTAAGGGTGGGAGCCGAAGGGCCACATTCACTTCTGGAAAACTGTCTGGGGGCCATAAGCAAATGGTGGGTAGGGCCAGAGGTGCAAATGGGTGGAGCAATGAATTGCAAATTCTGCCTGGTTGCTTTTGCACACAGAACTCTCCATCCTCCTTCCCGGCAAGTAAGGATGCCATATTTCTACAAAATCATTTGTATTATTCGGTGCACGTAACTTTGTTCATTTTTCTGATACAGCAATAGACCATACATTCCGTTTCCAATGAGACATACACAGATGTTCCAATCCTTTCCAGTTCTGTACCAATCTCCAGTAGGTGTGCTGCTCCCAAAAGAAAAGTAATTAGTTCTTTATAACAAAGGTCAGATTGGATTGCGCTTCTTTAAAAATAGTTAATATTTCTGAAACTTGGGGCACATTCCACATGTTGACCCATAACATACCTTATTTCTGTAACACCCTCTACCAAAAGGGCTTTATATGTCGACGTGTCCCCCACATGTGAAATGTTGTACCTATACTATTGCAGGCTCTCCAGCCCAACAGTAGTGGCAGTTTTATTAATATAAATACAGTCATACCTCTGGTTACAGATGCTTCAGGTTGCGTTTTTTTGAGTTATGGACCACCGAAACCCGGAAGTACCGGAACGGGTTACTTCCGGGTTTCGGTGGTTGCGCATGCACAGAAGTGCTAAATTGTGCTTTGCGCATGCACAGAAGCGCTGAATCGCAACCCGAGTGTGCGCAGATGCGCCACTACGGGTTGCAAACGTGCACCCCGCACGGATCATGTTCACAACCTGAGCGTCCACTGGACACCGTAATGGCGTCAAATGAGAACCGATTGCTTCAAGCCAGGTTAAGATAGCTCCGTCTCCTCCTATGCTGCTGTTGCTGTACTAGCTCCTTATGAATACAAACTATAGCATTGCAAGGTTTTGCAGCAGCCTTCCTAGAACGCCTCCATTATTCCTAGGAAAACGTACTTGCTGTCTCTGTGGGCACAATGAGAAGACAGCCACCTACCAAGCAATGATCATGATATTTAGCATTTGTTTAATGCTGGTCAAATCACGAAATCACTCAGCTTTCATTATCTCAGTAAGGCTGCAATTCTAAGCATATTTACTTGGATAGACATCGTGTCATATATTTAACCACTCTTAGGGCTAGGCCGTAAGGTTCACCGGAGCCCTCCTAGGAAGCTGAGTATCCCCATACAGTGGTGCTTCAGGTTAAGAACTTAGTTCATTCTGGAGGTCTGTTCTTAACCTGAAACTGTTCTTAACCTGAAGCACCACTTTAGCTAATGGGGCCTCCCGCTGCTGCCGGAGCACGATTTCTGTTCTCACCCTGAAGCAAAGTTCTTAACCCAAGGTACTATTTCTGGGTTAGCGGAGTCTGTAACCTGAAGCATCTGTAACCCGAGGTACCACTGTATTGCAGATGGGGGCTGAGACCGGGAGATTAATGGTTTGCCTAATGCTGCCAAGGGACGTGGGTGGCGCTGTGGGTTAAATCACAGAGCCTAGGGCTTGCCGATCAGAAGGACGGCGGTTCGAATCCCCGCGACGGGGTGAGCTCCCGTTGCTCGGTCCCTGCTCCTGCCAACCTAGCAGTTCGAAAGCATGCCAGTGCAAGTAGATAAATAGGTGGGAAGGTAAACAGTGTTTCCGTGCACTGCTCTGGTTTGTCAGAAGCGGCTTGGTCATGCTGGCCACATGACCCGGAAGCTATTCACCGGCTCCCTCGGCCAATAAAGCAAGATGAGCACCGCAACCCCAGAGTCGTCCACGACTGGACCTACAGATGGTCAGGGGTCCCTTTACTTTTACCTTTTAATGCTGCCAAAGAAGGGGTTACTACAGCAGAGAGCTGTGGGAACCCACTTAATTGACAACCTATACCAAACCACTTATCTCTCAGCCTTAGGTCCCATTTGCAATGGAAGGGGGTTTCTACAGCTCTCTGCTGTAGTAACCCCTAGTATCAGATACAGTGGTACCTCGGCTTACAGACGCTTCAGGTTACAAACGCTTCAGGTTACAGACTCCACTAACCCAGAAATAGTACCTCGGGTTAAGAACGTTGCTTCAGGATGAGAACAGAAATCGTGCTCCGGTGGCAGCGGGAGGCCCCATTAGCTAAAGTGTTACCTCGGGTTAAGAACAGTTTCAAGTTAAGAACGGACCTCCGGAACGAATTAAGTTCTTAACCTGAGGTACCACTGTATATAGTTGCACCAGGGAGAGAACGTTTTGGAAACAGGGTTTCATGCTCACTACCAACCCATTGTGTCTTTTTTGTTGCCCCCCCAAAAGTCTAGGGGTACAAATCTAGCTTAACACAACAGAGATTTCCCAAAATAGCAAGACCATGTTGCTTCTTGCCAACGTTGTCATAGAAGCAGCGCATCCTCATAATCTGCCATTTCATGATCTTCTTCCCCCCGCCCCTTGGAAACTCTTGTGCTTATCTGCAAGCCTTTTTAGAACGGTGACCTCATTCAGTCCCATCATAAGGTCAGAGGCAACGTTGAGAACTATTTGAAAATGAAAGATAAGGTGCAGCTTGCCTTACCTGAGCCGATAAATGTGCAATGCGGCCATCATCTATCTTACCCGTTACTGTCTTTTTGGAGAAGCTGAACTCTAATTCACCCTTGGCGTCAGCCCTTTTCGGGATCTTGGGCAGATCTGCGTCTTCTCTTCTACTCCTACCATTTAAAAACTTCCTGCAAAGTCTGGAATAAGCTCTTAAGTTTGCAACAAACTGTCGGTGGAAGCAACAGTTTGATTTCTGGATGCTCTGTGGCCATTGCTGTCCACTGCTAGTTGTTGAGGGGCAATGTGAACCCTCCATCACCACCTTGTTGTTGTTGTTTAGTCGTTTAGTTGTGTCTGACTCTTCGTGACCCCATGGACCAGAGCGCGCCAGGCACACCTGTCTTCCACTGCCTCCCGCAGTTTGGTCAAACTCATGCTGGTAGCTTCGAGAACACTGTCCAACCATCTCGTCCTCTGTCATCCCCTTCTCCTTGTGCCCTCCATCTTTCCCAACATCAGGGTCTTTTCCAGGGAGTCTTCTCTTCTCATGAGGTGGCCAAAGTATTGGAGCCTCAGCTTCACGATCTCTCCTTCCAGTGAGCACTCAGGGCTGATTTCCTTAAGAATGGATCAGTTTGATCTTCTTGCAGTCCATGGGACTCTCAAGGGTCTCCTCCAGCACCAGAATTCAAAAGCATCAATTCTTCAGTGATCAGCCTTCTTTATGGTCCAGCTTTCACTTCCATACAAACCAAATTTGGAGAGGGGAGCCCACCCAAGAGACAAATTCAACAGATTCATGGATGAGAGGGCTATCAGACAGCCACAACCCACGATGCCTTTGCTCTGACTCCACAGCTGGAAGGAGCAATGCTTCTGAATACCATTTGCTGGAAACCCCAGGATCCTGCTTGTGAGCTCCCTACAGGCACCTAGTATGTGGGTGGCGCTGTGGTCTAAACCACTAAGCCTCTTGGGCTTGCCGATCAGAAGGTCAGCAGTTTGAATCCCCGCGACGGGGTGAGCTCCTGTTGCTCTTTCCCAGCTCCTGTGAACCTAGCAGTTCGAAAGCACACCAGTGCAAGTGGATAAATAGGTACTGCTGCAGTGGGAAGGTAAACAGTGTTTCCGTGTGCTCTGGTTTCCGTCCCGGTGTTCCATTGCACCAGAAGCAGTTTAGTCATGCTGGCTACATGAGCCGGAAAGCTGTCTGTGGACAAACGCTGGCACTCTCGGCCTGAAAAGTGAGATGAGCACCCCAACCCCATAGTCGCCTTTGAGTGGACTTAACCATCCAGGGGTCCTTTACCTTTCCCCCCTTTTTTTTACCTACTGAGTGTTGGGTGCATTATTATTCCAGGGCATTCTTGGAAATTAAAAATGGCAGCTTTCCGGGTCATGTGGCCAGCGTGACTAAACCGCTTCTGGCGCAACGGGACACCATGATGGAAACCAGAGTGCACAGAAATGCCGTTTACCTTCCTGCTGCAGTGGTACCTATTTATCTACTTGCACTGGTGTGCTTTGAACTGCTAGGTTGGCAGGAGCTGGGACAGAGCAACAGGAGCTCACCCCGTTGCGTGGATTTGAATTGCTGGCCTTCTGATCAGCAAGCCCAAGAGGCTCAGTGGTTTAGACCACAGCGCCAACCGTGTCCCTACACTCAGTGGACCAGGGGTTGAGAACTTTATTATATCCAGGGCTTTTTTTTCAGCCAGAACTCATCAGAACTCTGTTCCGGTTCCTCTCAGGTGGGCACCATTATAAGAGAACAAGGGAGGCATTCATGGTGAGTTGCGGCACCTCTTTTTCTAGAAAAATTACACCCAAGATGAGGCCTGGTTTGGTTTTTGCCTGAGCATAACTAGCAATCACTAAGAAACAGAACAAAAAGGAAGAAAGAAACTAAACTAAAACAACTGCTTTGCCCCTCAGGGGCTGTGTTAAAATTACTCAACTGTACAGTTAGGGAGCATCTTCAAGTTCCCAAATGTCCCCAAACAGCTCTAATATAACAACTACAGAGATGGTAAGACTTAGTGTTCAGGGAGCATAGAATCTGTGTACAGTCATACCTCATGTTACGTTTGCTTCATGATACGTTTATTCTGGTTGTGTCCCGCGGCGACCCGGAAGTACTGGAACGGGTTACTTCCGGGTTTCGCCGCTGGCGCATGCGCAGAAGCACTAAATCGTGCCGCGCACCTGTGCAGATACGGCGCTTCAGGTTGCGGGCTTTTCATGTTGCGAATGGGCCTCTGTGTGGTGTAGCGGTTAAGAGCGATAGACTCGTAATCTGGTGAACCGGGTTCGATTCCGTGCTCCTCCACATGCAGCTGCTGGGTGACCTTGGGCCAGTCACACTTCTCTGAAGTTTCTCAGCCTCACTCACCTCACAGAGTGTTTGTTGTGGGGGAGGAAGGGAAAAGGAGATTGTTAGCCGCTTTGAGACTCCTTCAGGTAGTGATAAAGCGGGATATCAAATCCAAACTCTTCTACCACTGTACCTGTGTATACAAAAAGTTGAACTGTACACATCAATAATGGTACACTCTTTAACACAAATGCTTGTGCAAATATACAGGCAGCTTGTACCTGTATTCATTGTAATGTGGAAAAAAGCTTTAGGGTATGAGGAAGGACATTTTAGGTGTGCTTGGGGGGAGGATAACGTGCCCCCTTTGCCACATTTTAATGGTGTCCACCAGCAAAGGCTGCCATGTCCCCCTCATCCCAGGAAAAAAACAAAACACCATGATCTTCTCACTCTCTCCTCTGGGCCCCTGGGGCCGCATAACTTCATACCCTCCAACATTTCTCTGATAAAAATAGGGATGTCCTCAGGAAAAGTGGGACATTCTGGGGTCAAATCAGATACTGGAACAGTTTCTGTAAATCCGGGACTGTCCCTGGAAAATAGGGAGACTTGTAGGGTCTAGTATTGCAATGGTTGCTGAGATATGAAATCCTTGGAACGTGCATATAGCTCTGCGTTAACAGTAACAACAACAACAACAACAACAACAACATGAGTGGAAGTCCTTTTGGATCCCAGCCTATGCTTGGTACAAATAGATTTGGTGTTGAGCTTCCAAAGGCATTTGCTGTGTTGACTGCGATTGACTCAGGCCTTAATGCCACATAAGGGATATTCTGATAGAAACACTTTTCATAGTTATGTTTTATAACACAAGTGAAAGGCAAATCAGACCTGGCTTGTTCCTTGCCAGGACACAGAGACCCGCCCCCCGCTCAAAGCCATGTTGGTGCATGAAGTTAACACACTGACCTTTGGAAGCCTGTCCTTGTGCGACCCCCACACAATCTCCATTTCTCTTCCCCTAGCCAGAGCTCTGTGGGAAGTTGAATGTGCTGTGAGCTTAATAAAGCACTTACTCAACTAGACTTGCAGCCATGGTGCAATGTGAGAAGTTAGGGTGCCCTAAAGCAGAGGAAGAGTGACGCGGGTGGTGCTGTGGGTTAAACCACAGAGCCTAGGGCTTGCCAATCAGAAGGTCGGCGGTTCGAATCCCTGCGACGGGGTGAGCTCCCATTGCTCAGTCCCTGCTCCTGCCAACCAAGCAGTTTGAAAGCATGTCAAAGTGCAAGTAGATCCGCTCCGGCGGGAAGGTAAATGGCGTTTCCGTGCGCTGCTCTGGTTCACCAGAAGCGGCTTAGTCATGCTGGCCACATGACCCGGAAGCTGTACGCCGGCTCCCTCAGCCAATAAAGCGAGATAAGCACCGCAACCCCAGAATCGGCCATGACTGGACCTAATGGTAGGGGTCCCTTTAAAGCAGTGGAAATGCAGTTCTTAAAAAAAGGCATTAAATGTGCATATGCTTATACAGTATAAAGGTAAAGGTAAAGGGACCCCTGACCATTAGGTCCAGTTGTGGCCAACTCTGGGGTTGTGGCGCTCAGAGACCTTTAGAGACTGAGCACGCAAGCTAGCAGAGATAAGAACTCTTTGCAACAGAAGTAGCGGACAGAGGCATATGTAAGCCTATTTACAAGCATTTATTCAGCATCAGGACAAAGGAAAAACATGTCTGCTTCCCTTCGTGTCCAAGCAAACAGCAATAGGCAAAAGCTATTGTCAGGGAACTGACATCGGAGCGAGAGGTGAAGGGGAGGCTCCTAGATGATGCTGGCGAAGGACCCAGCAGCAGGGGGAGAAACAGCTCAGTAGAGGGGGAAGCAAATCAGCGCAACACCAGGGATAAGGGAGGGCAGATGGGGGAATCGGAGAGAGGGCTCCAGGACTCTTCACTGGACCTCAGTGAGGAGGGGACAGGTCCTCCGCTACCCACGCCCTCCCTGCGCAGAAGACTCCCACGCAGTGAGAGGAGGAGGAGACTGGCTGTCAAACAACTTTTATGTTGGAAGAGGTTCAAGACACGCCCACTGACGGATTCTGCCAGCGACTGAGGCAGCCACGATGAGAAAGGGCTGTGCAGTCAGAAAGGTTTAACAAGGCAAATTAGCCTAGACAGGCACCAGTTTACACACGAGTAACTCATACTCATTACAGCTATATACAACGGAAGTTCCCAGCAGACTGTGCTGGAAGTAAACAGACATGTGGCATGCAACAACTCCACATGCCTGTTCTAAAGGTGGAACGGAACTATACTCTAACAACCCCAAGGAAAAGTCCATATCCACTGTCTTGTGGGACATCTTTGGGAGAAGAAAGGGCCGACACAAATCCAGACTGCAGTGGTGGTCGGATGGCACCTTGTATGCCTTCTTCCGGCAATTCCTGCAGCCACATTGGTGCCAGACTTTATCTCTGCTTTCCTTTGGCTCACATCAGCAACACCAACAGTGGGGTCTTGTTTTCCGGGCATCCCAGGACCCACAGACACACTGCCCAGGGTTTGCACCCCAGGGAGGTCCATTTGGTGCTGCTAGCACAGCAATTTGACTTCACCCCTCGAGGTGTACGCCATTCTCTCTTGAGACAGACAGATGCCAAGAACCACCATTATATGCTTAGGTACGGATTTAGAACAAATTGCTCTAAGGTGAATAAAAGTACAGTGCATGTCAGCATAGAGGGGACAGGACTGAGGCCAGGTGACCTGTGTGTGTCTGCTCAGTCTGCTGCCCAGCTGTTTGTCCTGGTTGGTGGACAACTTCAATCTCCCCTCTAGCGGTTCTTTATCTTGAAACTGGACTTGCTTTGAACAGAGCACTTCTAAGAAGTCCTCTGTGCAAAGCACGTCCACTTTAAAGGACCAAGTCCAGGTTAAAGTCCACTGTTCTAAGGAGGGCTGTTCCTCTGATAGCCATTCAAAGAGAGGACTGTGCTGCGCAAGGTAGGGCTGCCTACCATCTCCTCATTTTTCTTGTAGGTCCCACTTTTCCTTAGGCCCTTCTTTCCCACTTCCTCTTTCAACTCAGGCTCAGATTGACACTCGAGCTGCAGATCTGACCTTTGAAAAGTATAAAAGATTTAGTAGCTGGAGGAAAAGGGGGAGAAATCTGGGATATTGGGGGGGAGAATGAGGGTGGTGCCCAAATACGCCCCCCCCGTACCCAAAGAGGCTGCTTACCCTATAGCTCACCCTTTTCGAAAGTCATTTAGACCATCACATCATCTTGTATCTATGAATTCTTGTGGGTCATGTCGGGGCAAATGTTTGGGCTGCTTGCCAAGCAGTATCTCCATTGCTGCAAAGGTGCCACATCCTATCCATCACATCTTGCTTTTTCCCCACTAAGCACCAGCCATTGCAGGAGGAGGGCTCCAGAAACTGAATGCCGAGTTCCGACAAATGGTGCAGCAATATAAAAATCGGATTAGCTCCATCGGATAAATGCCTCTGTGGTTTGGGAGCTCAGTATCTCCTCTCTCTGGCTGCTGCTCTTCAGCTAGTCTAACTCCAAGGAATTTGCCAGAGAGCTTTTCACTTTATTATTATTATTATTATTAAGAAAATATCAAGAGCAGGTTTTTGCCCTCCAGCTACGTCCTAGTAGTGAATCTAAATTGGGGCTGAAACCATTAATGCATTTTAGCACAGCCCTCAGGTAAAGAGGAGTTCTGAGGTGCAGCTCTAAGCAGGGAAATGGCGCACTGGAACAGCCCAAACAGAAATCATGATTGACCTTGGACAGAGTTGTCCCTGATATGCAAACCATAGCATTTGATTCAGTGCTGTGCATTCTTGCTTGAGTTTTGTGAAAGGAAAGTACCAGCGGGGCATGCTGTTGAGTTTTGAGTGAAACTTGTACAGTGGTACCTTGGGTTAAGAACATAATTTGTTCTGGAGGTCTGTTCTTAACCTGAAACTGTTCTTAACCTGCAGCACCACTTTAGCTAATGGGCCTCCTGCTGCCGCTGCGCTGCTGCTGTGTGATTTCTGTTCTCATCCTGAAGCAAAGTTCTTAACTCGAGGTACTATTTCTGGGTTAGTGGAGTCTAACCTGAAGCGTATGTAACCTGAAGCATCTGTAACCCAAGGTACCACTGTAATTAACTTGCAAGAGGAAGCCAACTGTTTAGTCCAGGAAGGGAGAACCCATGGATGGCCCTGTAGATGTTGTTAGACTACAACTCCCATCTTCCCTCAGCATTGTCCATGCTGGCTGGGCCTGATGGGAGGTGGAGTCCAACAACAACTGGAGGTCAATTGGCTCCCCCTCCATGGCGTAGACACAATCATATAAGGATGCTCGACTGCTTTGAAGAGGGAGATAAGACAGGGTAACAGGAGAGAGCCAGCAGCAAATCACACTGTGTAAATGGGAGTTAACTATTTATTAGCAAAAGCAGAATCTGAACAGGAGTGTCAGGCATCTCATCTCCTGCAAACAGTTCCCCCACCCCAAGCAATCTGAGACTATGCCTGTGTGAAGCTAACTTCTCCTCTGCCCTCTTCATGGCACTCCTGTTTCTCGGCGACCAGGCGGATGGAAACTTCTTGCATCAAGAGGGGAGAAACCTGTGATTTTTCACCAGCCTGACTCACCTCTGCCTCTTGGCATTCTTCCTATCCTCCTTCAGCTTCTGCCTCTGATTCTAGACTTCTCTCTGCCACAGACTCCCCACCCCCCGCTTACTAAGCCCTGTTTCCTGTTCTGACATCTCCTCCCACTCTTCTCTCTCTCTTCTCCATTTGACTACACATTGTCACCCCACAACCAATCCCCTGGCTCTGAGCTTTCTTCCCTTAGGGATTCCCCAGCCGGTTTCTCCCACCATTCTTCTGGGCCCAACCAGTCCATGACACAGGGATGGGTAACCTGTGAGGCTCTCCAGAAGTTGTTGGTCTCCAAGTACCACCAGCCCTAGACATCATGGTTGGCAAGCCCAAGAGGCTCAGTGGTTTAGACCACAGCGCCACCCGCGCCCTACCTTTACCATTACCTTGCCTTAACTAACTGCAGTGCTCAAATGCTACCTCTTAGTCAACAACCATCTCCTGTTTTCCCCCCAGCTCCCTCCTGACCACCAACTTCTGTGAGGCATGGAGCAGGCATGCAAACTCTATAGGGCAGTGGAGCCCCCTCAATATCTGTTGCCAGGGTGCTTGGCCCCCTCAATGGTAAGGGGGCGGAGGAGGCTAAGTGCAGAGCCAAGTGTGGCATGGGCTCCTCCTGAGCACACGAGAGAAGCCACTGGCCATTGAAGCCATGCGGCACTGGGGTTTGCACTTGGCTTCCTCCAGATGATGTCACATCACATGCATGACGTCACACATGTGCGATGTGCATCGGGCGCATGACTTCATGCATGCACACTGCATGCGAGGCCCCCTCAATCTTGGGTGCAAGAAGGCATCTCTGACAACGAGACATGTCTTCCTCACCCAAGATCCCCTTTTAAGATGAGCAATCCAATGATCATCAAATATTTTAGCTGTCTCTCCCTTTATTGTAGTTATTTAACAACCTGCTCTTCAGTCTCACAGGGACTCATAAATTGCCTCACAACAGCCAGAGATCACAACGAAAGAGGCTACATCAATAAAACAATAAAACAGATTAAACCCACAGAGCAGACACAATCCTCGGTGAATAAACAAAGCAGACTGACAGTGCAAATCTTCCTTCCATCTACAAGTTGTTGTTGTTGTTGTTTAGTAGTGTCCGACTCTTTGTGACCCCATGGACCAGAGCACGCCAGGCACTCCTGTCTTCCACTGCCTCCCACAGTTTGGTCAAACTCATGCTGGTAGTTTCGAGAACACTGTCCAACCATCTCGTCCTCTGTGGTCCCCTTCTCCTTGTGCCCTCCATCTTTCCCAACATCAGGGTCTTTTCCAGGGAGTCTTCTCTTCTCATGAAGTGGCCAAAATATTGGAGCCTCAGCTTCAGGATCTGTCCTTCCAGTGAGCACTCAGGGCTGATTTCCTTCAGAATGGATAGGTTTGATCTTCTTGCAGTCCATGGGACTCTCAAGAGTCTCCTCCAGCACCATAATTCAAAAGCATCAATTCTTCGGCAATCAGCCTTCTTTGTGGTCCAGCTCTCACTTCCATACATCACTGCTAGTAAAACCATAGCTTTAACTATACGGACCTTTGTCGGCAAGGTGGTGTCTCTGCTTTTTAAGATGCTGTCTAGCTTTATCATCGCTTTTCTCCCAAGAAGCAGGCGTCTTTTAATTTTGTGACTGCTGTCACCATCTGCAGACATCACGGAGCCCAAGAAGTTAGTCCCCATTCAAAGAGGACTTACTCTTGTGTAAGGTGGTAGAGCAGCCTTTGCAAGCTGGTGTCCTCCAGAAGTTCTGTCAGTCAGCACTGCCTCCTTGCTGGGATGGGAGGGGGATGGTTGGTGGGAACTGTTGTCTAAAACATCAGGAGGGCAGCAGGTTGACAAAGGTTGGGTTATAGGGTTGCAGCCTCTAAACTACACACAAAAAATGTTGACAAATGAAAAGCTGCTGAAAGAGACATCAAACCTGGTATTTCTGGGAAGAGCATTTCAAGAGGAGGGTGCCACCACCGAAAAGGCCCTACCCCAGATTGAGTGCTGAGGATGATCTTAGCACTCAGGCAGATTTGTATAGGCCAGGAGTAGCCCTTCAGATGCCATTGGACTACAACTCCCATCATCCCTGACCATTGGCCGTTCTGGCTGGTGCTGGTGGGAGTTGTAGCCCAACAACATCTGGAAGACACCATATTAGGCATCCCTGATTAGGAGAAGGCAGTTCTTTAAAGTCCTCAGAGATCCATGTCGAGATGGGGAAGAGGGGAGGTACTTCAGCTATAATGTAGAAGCTCCCAGGTTTCTCCCATCTGTGAAGGCATTACAGATTGACTGAGCTGGTGGAGAGAAGCAGAAGGTCAGGAGAGACCTTCTTATTTAAAAGAACAATGCCAAGGACCCAGAGAGACGCAGGGAAATAATTGTAATTATATATTAAATATATAAAGGTATTTAAAATATATTAAGCAGTATAGAAATTAAATACTCAAAATAATCAATGGTTGTTCCATCTTAGGCCAGGTCACATGTTGTAGAAGTTCTGAACACCATCTTCTGTGGCTATCCCCAGGTACGCATTCCCACTAAGACCATAAGTGTGCGCGAACAATGCTCTCCATCAATATAGCTCCGTTTCCTTGATAATGATGCGCAAGACTTCAACGCCTGGGAAAAAATGTGTCTCTGTGCTTGTGGGAATTGCCAGCGGGAAGCTACGGCTCTAACCACAGAGGCTTAGTTTACATGCTACAAAACTTCGCACAAATGAGTCCTCAGAGGCAGTAGGGAGCCCATCCTATTGGGTCCTTTTTGTGGTGACTGATTTGGCCGAAAGGGAAACTGAAGTCCAGCACAACCGGGAAAGGAGGTGGTGCAGGGCTTAGCAAACTTTTTCAGCAGGGGGCTGGTCCACTGTTCCTCAGACCATGTGGGGGGCCGGACTATATTTTGAAAAAAAAGAATGAACGAATTCCTATGCCCCACAAATAACCCAGAGATGCATTTTAAATAAAAGGACACATTCTGCTCATGTAAAAACATGCTGATTCCTGGACCATCTGCGGGCCGGATTTAGAAGGCGATTGGGCCGGATCCGGCCCCCAGGCCTTAGTTTGCCTACCCATGAGGTACAGCTTGCTCACTTAGGGTGGGGATCTTGTATCAAGGTAATAGGAGATCAGGAGGTGGAGGAGGACCCAGTTTTGAATCCCTGACACCTCCAGGTAAAATGCCTGGGAAAGCAACCTGAGGACTTGGGAGAAGTGTTGGCAGAGACAGTTCTGGGCTAAGGAGACCAATGATTTGATTCACTGCAAAACAACACCAAACCTCTGGTTACGTGAAACATATTCAATAAACACACGAGACGTAACCGGCTGTACGTTTGAAAAAATAATATATACTATTCATTGTATTGAATTGTAGATTTCAACAGAAGCTGCTCATAAAGTTCAACGAAAAAAGTAGAAGACCCAGTGGATCAGTTCATTCTTTAATCGGTTTATGCATAAGGTCCATATATGTGAAAGTGTCTATTCCACCTGTCTGTTCATAGAGTCCAACAATCCACACGAAAGGTTGTTACAGTTCCACAGAATCCTTTCACAGAGTCTAAGACAAGGATTTCCGGAATATTAGCCTTGTTTCGCTGTCTTGGGCTTCATCAGTACAGTGGTACCTCAAGTTACATACGCTTCAGGTTACATATGCTTCAGGTTACAGACTCCGCTAACCCAGAAATAGTGCTTCAGGTTAAGAACTTTGCTTCAGGATGAGAACAGAAATCATGCTCTGGTGGCGTGGCGGTAGCAGGAGGCCCCATTAGCTAAAGTGGTGCTTCAGGTTAAGAGCAGTTACAGATTAAGTACGGACCTCCGGAATGAATTAAGTACTTAACCTGAGGTACCACTGTAGTACAAACTCAAGGTAATGCAAATAAATACAATATCGTAATCTCACACATTTTCACAGCAAAATTAATATAAAAACTGTCAACAACCACAGGACAGTGGATCTTATAACATAGTAGTAGCTGCTGTAAGCATCAACTTTTACAGAGTAGAGTTATAAGGACAAGCACAATATTGATTCAAGTAACAGGTGAATGAACATTAGGAAGAAATTTCTGACAGTAAGAACAGTGGAAAGGACTATCTTGGAAGGAGGTGGACTTTACTGCCTTGGAGGTTATTAAGCAGAGGTTGGTGGGGGCATTTGTCACCTATTCTTTAGCTGTGATTCTTGGCACTCCAGGCAGGAAAACTACATGACTTTTGTGGTATCTTCCAACTCCAGAGTTCTATGATTCCAAGTTCTGCATCTTGATGTTCCAATCCTTGGTCTAAGGAGCCTTGCACTGACCAGCAAACTTCCTCCCCCTGTTTTTAAAACCCACACCTGACTTTGTGGTTGTCGAAACTTTTCCTTGGCTCTTTTCTCGATTGCCCTGAGATATTAGGGCGTGGTTTTACCAGATTGCTTGCTCTTGGTCTAGGTTTAGTTCCCTTTTGAAGCTCCCCCGATAACATCTGATTGTTTGGCAGGAGCAAAATCGAGCCACGAATATGAAGCCCCTTTTGAAAATTCCCAGCCTTAAGTTACGGCTGCCTGTGTGGCCTTCCTCAAGAGAGAGTAATTGAAGAAGGGAGCCCTGAATGGAGAGGGGACTTTGGGAGGGAGGGAGACGACAAAGCCTTCTCTGTTGGGAAATTTGGGGGAGGGGGGAGCTTTCCAACAAAGGTTTGGAAAGCAAAAATGGCATTTGGCTTTGCAGGAAAAAGAAGAATGCAGTCGCAAGGTGCCTTAATTGGCTTCCGACTCCTGGTGACAATGCGGGAGGGCTGTAGCTCAGTGACAGAGCTTGCAGAAGGTCCCAGCATCAGACTGGCATCTCCTGGCAGGCCTGGTAGAGACTCCAGACCGAAACCCTGGAGAGCATCTACCTACCTGTCAGTGTAGACCAGAGTTTTCCAATTTGCATGGTGAGTTCCCGCCCCCCTACCCAGTGGAAATAAAGACACGTGACACAATTATTAAGGTTAATGGGCTAAATAAGGCCACAACTTTATTGGTTACAGGTGATGAGCAGTATTGGCTTAGGCATTGGTCCTAACCAACTATCCAGCTTCAGCCCGTCCGCTTGAAGTCTGGGAAGGGTTAACCACCAGTTGGGGGAGTCCTGCTGATGCACATCAACTAGGAACTCCCCCGGGGTCACCGTTAGGGGGCGTGCCTTAGGCCCTCACCTCCATAGGCTTCGGACAGGGCCACGCCCCCTGGAATCCTTTATCGGAGTACACTTCAATATGCGGGGCAGGTGATGGCGCTTCCTCCCCTCTTCAATCTACAGTACTATACCAATGCCTAACCGCCAATACCAAGGAAGTTGTGACGATTTGCTACGAGGTAGGTGAAAAACCAAGTGGCTGGTGCCAATTTGCCAAGTGGAAAAAATTCCTACCAGGCCCCTTAACGGCGACCAACCGGTGACCATAGCAAGGTCAAAAGCCTTAAAGGGCGGGAGAGTGGGAAACAGGAGCAGCTGGAGGTGGCAAAAGAGGGAGATCCCCCGGCCGCGCCAGCGTTAAATAGGGCAGGCCACACCCCCTGAGCCAGCCGATTGGCTGTCCAGGGTATGACGCGGCCGGGGATTCCCTCAATCATGTGGAGGCTGAGAGCCAGCCACCGCGCACGTGGTGGGGGGCGTGAAGCCCGCAACCCCACCTCCTCTTAAGGCAGAAGTGGCTTTGTGAGTCACAACCCACAAGTGGGCTGTGAAGCCTGGGTGTGTGGGTTGCGGGCTTTGTGAGTGAACCCCAAACAATCAACTGTCATGATGAATGCCTCTTGCAACTTATTGCTTTCTCGACACATTGCAATATGGTATTGCGTTGACACTTGCAAACCAAATGTCAGAAAGGCTCGAGTCTTACATTCTAACACGTGAAAACTGGTGTTTTCTAGTGGCTGGGGGCAGAGGCCTAAGGTCCAAAAGTCACGGGTCAATAACATTCCCACGCTCTCAGAGTTAAGGAAATCCGTAGCAGTGGCAAGCAGTCGTTCAGCCGCAACTGCTGAGTACCGTTGCTACATTTCAGACCAGAGTGTAGGATTTCTCCAATGCGCTATATCGAAAGTGTACATAAATGCCAACAGAAAGGTCACATGTGGCAGCTCTAAGCCTTTGCAAAATATCAAGTAAAGATTCTTCCTCCTCCACTGCAAAATCAACAATGACACAGAATTTGGAATTCCTGCAGTCTTGCTCTCGGCTTCTAAGTAGGGAAGGGAACGAGGAAATTGGGAGGGGATGTGTCAGATCTTAGGTCTGTGAGCCGTTAGCAGGGCTGATATTTATTTATTTATTTATTTATTTATTTATTTATTTATTTATTCAAACAAACAAAAACAAACTCAAACCCAGTGTGAAAAGCAGTTTTGGTGTAGGATCCGATCACATGCCAGCAAATTCAGGCTGATTTGCAGCTCTTAAGCAGCAAAACCATTTCCCCCAAACCCAGACATTTTGCTGTAAGGAAAATGATGAAGAAATGCATTCAAAAATGTGAACAATTGCTTGACACATTGGCATCTAACAACAACATCAACAATTTATTACCTATACCCCGCCCATCTGGCTGGGTTTCCCCAGCTACTCTGGGCGGCTCCCAACAGAATACTAAAAGCATGATAAAACATCAAACATTAAAAACGTCCCTGAACAGGTCTGCCTTCAGATGTCTTCTAAATGTCAGGTGGTTGTTTATCTCTTTGACATTTGATGGGAGGGCATTCCACAGGGCAGTAGTCTGTTAAACATTAAAAGCTTCCCTAAACGGGGCTGCCTTCAGATGTCTTCTAAAAGTCTGGTCGTTGTTGTTCTCTTTGACATCTGGTGGGAGGGCGTTCCACAGGGCAGGTGCCACTACCGAGAAGGCCCTCTACTTGGTTCCCTGTAACTTGACTTCTCACAGTGAGGGAACCACCAGAAGGCCCTCAGAGCTGGACCTCAGTGTCTGGGCAGAACGATGGGGGTGGAGATGCTACTTCAGGTATACTGGACCAAGGCCGTTTAGGGCTTTAAAGGTCAGCACCAGCACTTTGAATTGTGCTCGGAAATGTATCTAACCTCCAAGCAAACAAATAGCACCTAGAGGGCACGAGGTTGGTGACCGTTGCCTTGCAAGAAGCACTATCTGAAGGGGTGCTTCAGAAGGCCAGAGAGCCGAGTAATTCAATAGCCATTAGCAGTGATCTCAGGAGGGGATTGCAGGCAGAAGGATAAATACAGTCCAGCCCTGGGCGAGATGAGTTTCCTGTTCTTTCTGCCTGCTGGGTATGTTAAATGGCAGAACGCAACGTTCTGAAATAGATGGACTAAAACAACCTCCGGTGGGATACAGGAAAACGTGTTTCTGTCCGACCACTGTCAGAAAGGGTCAAAATCACAAAGCAGGGTCAGTTCAGGTCCTCTCTCCAGTATTGTTTCTTCCACCTTCCTTGGCAGTGGAAACGGAGGCCCAAATTTAAAACAAACCACCGGGATTTGTTGGTTGGCATCTGTCTGTCTCAAGAGAGCCTCCAGGGCTGAAGTCAAACTGCTGCATTAGCAGGACAGAAGTAACCTCACTGGGGCGCAAGCCGGAGCTGTGTGTCTGGAGGTCCTGGGCTGCCCAGATGACAAGACCCCCTCTCAACCTCAGAGCAATACGTTTGACACCAGCTTGGCAGCAGGAATTGCTGGAAGGAGGTGTAAGGTAAAGGTAAAGGGACCCCTGACCATTAGGTCCAGTTGTGACCGACTCTGGGGTTGCGGCGCTCATCTTGCTTTATTGGCCGAGGGAGCCGGCGTACAGCTTCCAGGTCATGTGGCCAGCATGACTAAGCCGCTTTTGGTGAACCAGAGCAGCGCACGGAAACACCGTTTACCTTCCCGCTGGTGCGGTACCTATTTATCTACTTGTACTTTGTCATGCTTTTGAACTGCTAGGTTGGCAGGAGCTGGGACAGAGCAATGGGCGCTCACCCTGTCCCAGGGATTCGAACCGCTGACCTTCTGATCAGCAAGCCCTAGGCTCTGTAGTTTAACCCACAGTGCCACCCGCGTCCCTGGAAGGAGGTGTACAAGGCACCATCTAACTGTCTTAGGGACTCCACGCCAGATAATAATAATAATAATAATAATAATAATAATAATAATAATATATTTATACCTCACCCATCTGGCTGGGTTTCCCCAGCCACTCTGGGCGGCTTCCAACAGAACACTAAAATACAATAACCTATTAAACATTAAAAGCTTCCCTAAACAGGGCTGCCTTCAGATGTCTTCTAAAAGTTTGGTAGTTATTTTTCTCTTTGACATTTGGTGGGAGGGCGTTCCACAGGGCAGGTGCCACTACTGAGAAGGCCCTCTGCCTGCTTCCCTGTAACTTGGCTTCTCGTAGTGAGGGAACCGCCAGAAGGCCCTCAGCACTGGACCTCAGTGTCCGGGCAGAATGATGGAGGTGGAGAAGCTCCTTCAGGTATACTGGATTGAGGTAGAGACACTCCTTCAGGTATACTGGACAAAGATTTGTGTGGGGTTTACTTCTTAGCCTTTTCTTCTCCCGAAGATGTCCCGCAATGCAGTGGAGGTTTAGGATCAGAGTTTTCCTTCTCCTAGATGGGCTGCCCTCCCAGGTTGATGAACTCCATCTGTCCCTCACTTGTCTCTGCAGCAGGTGCAGAAACTGCCTTATTGACCATTGGACTCACTCTTGGTCTCATTTGCTCAAGCCTATCTTTGCATGCAGGTGAAGTCCCAAGTCCCTAACTTACTGAGGGTTTGAGACCCATCGAGAATAACCTCTTATTATGAATCCTAGCCATAAATGTGTACACACACACACACACACACACACACACACACACCAGTCTTTGACATTATTTGGAGTCCCATATATTGCTTCATTGGAAAGAGAAATATATGTCTCCATTTATTCGCTGGCTTGAAGACTAATACTTGCCAGTTATGAGTGGATTGCTTATAGACAGAGACTTTGCTGGGAGCCGGTGTGGTGTAGTGGTTAAGAGCGGTAGTCTCGTAATCTGGTGAACCGGGTTTTCGTCTCCGCTCCTCCACATGCAGCTGCTGGGTGACCTTGGGCTAGTCACACTTCTCTGAAGTCTCTCAGCCCCACTCACCTCACAGAGTGTTTGTTGTGGGGGAGGAAGGGAAAGGAGAATGTTAGCCGCTTTGAGACTCCTTAGGGTAGTGATAAAGCGGGATATCAAATCCAAACTCTTCTTCTCTTCTTTGCATGGACAAATACAGGTTACAGATGCTTCAGGTTACAGACTCTGCTAACCCAGAAATAGTACCTTGGGTTAAGAACTTTGCTTCAGGATGAGAACAGAAATCGTGCTCCGGTGGCACGGCAGCAGCGGGAGGCCCCATTAGCTAAAGTGGTGCTTCAGGTTAAGAACAGACCTCCAGAATGAATGAAGTTCTTTTTTTATTATTCAAAGTTATAACAAAACATATTATCCAAAAACATATCCTTATTTCTCCCCCCCATTTTTCCTCCCTCCCCCCTCCCCCCCACAAAACCCAGAACAAATTAAGTTCTTAACCCAAGGTACCACTGTATAATGAAATTTGGAACTCAATAATACAAAACACCGTAGGTTAAAAACTGTAAAGGGGGAGAGAGAGAGAGGAAGAGAGAAAACACAACACAGAGATGCTTTTTTTTCCTGGCAGAAATAAGGGTGAGAGAAAAAAAACCTACTTTGGTTTGCATTTGCCTCTTCGTGTTGATTTGGCCTTTTGGCTTCTGTCGGCTGTGATGCACAAATAGACCTGAATAAAATTGCAACTATATATATTTGGGCTTTGGGGCTGACTTGCCTGGTGATTGTCTAGCGGTCCTCTTGCAAAATGAGTCACTTGGTTTATTGTTGCCTACACACACACACCCCACATGTGTTGAATATTACTTCCCTGACCCTCCCTCCTCCTCCTCCTCCCAGCCCAAGCCCTGTTCATGCATGACGGTGCACTGATGGAGGAGTCACTGGCAGAGCTAAACCTTTTCCAAGGCGCGGCTCCTGTCATCCATCATGAGTTAAGTATGAGCTGCCCTGGTAGCTGTCAGAGGAGGCCCAGCTGATGTGCCGCAGCTAATTAGCATGCCTTGCGCTGCGCATCGGGATTTGGGGAGGTCTCCGGCAGCTGTGCAAACCTGTGTGGAAAAATTCCACGCCTGCAGAAGATCAAAAGGCCCTCATTTGAAGTGCAAAAGCTGTGCTGAGGATACGGGAGCTTAGCTGGAATTAGAGGCAGCAAAGCGAGGAGGGAGAGCTGCACCTGTGGAATTTTTGCCTGTTGCGCAACTGCTAAGAGGAACAGGGCTCTTACCAGGAAAAAAGAGACTGCAACACCCACAATCAGTGCCCCAGTTTTTCTATATTTTTCATTGATGCAGAGCAGATTTGCATATACCCCCACAGGAAGGAAAGCAAGGCCTGGTAGTAAAGGTAAAGGGACCCCTGTGGCAGGACACAGTTGTGTGTGTAGCTCCTCTGCTGCACCTAGGTGCGGTGGCAGGTAAAGGTATAAAGGGACACCTGACCGTTAGGTCCAGTCGTGGCCGACTCTGGGGTTGCGGTGCTCATCTCGCTTTACTAGCCGAGGGAGCCAGCGTACAGCTTCCGGGTCATGTGGCCAGCATGACTAAGCCACTTCTGGCCTACCAAAGCAGCGCACGGAAAGGCCGTTTACCTTCTGGCCAGAGCGGTACCTATTTATCTACATGCACTTTGATGTGCTTTCGAACTGCTAGGTTGGCAGGAGCAGGGACCGAGCAACGGGAGCTCACCCCATCGCAGGGATTCGAACCGCCGACCTTCTGATCGGCAAGTCCTAGGCTCTGTGGTTTAACCCACAGCGCCACCTGCGTCCCAAAGCCTTGATAGAGTGGACCAAATTTTGATCTGTTCCAAGCACCAGGTAAATCAAAGCTGCTGTCCTGATAGTTCTGGGAAGTATAGAAGGAAATAGGCCCCCCTTAAACCAGATAAACTGAGCGAAAAGAAATTGATGTATAGACATGCTGTGGTCTCTGAAACCGCTATAATTCTATAGGCTGAGAGAGAGCTCTGGCTTCAGGCAATTGGAATGAGTCTTCCTTGGGGTTTTTTTTTGTCTCAGATGCTGCTGAATTTTAAGAAGTTTTCCGCATGCAAGGCAAAGGGTCAGAGGGAGCTGGGCACCATTGGTTGGCGATAGTTGAGCAGATGGATTTGGGGGCTCAAGCTAGGAACCCAATAGGTCAGGTTCTACTTCCTAATGCTTGTACTTCCTACTTGTTGGTTTGTTGGAGGAAACTGCAAGTAGTTTCAGCTGAGACATTCAAGCACAAACCAAGGGTAGGCAACATAGTGCTCTGCAAATGTTGTGGAACCACATCTGACACTATCCCTGATCTTTGACCATGCAGGGAAACCTGGAGCCTGGCCTTCTTTGGACTTGAAGGTACCACCTGCCCTGCTGGGACTTGGAGAATTTGAATATGTTTGCATTTGAGTGAGAAAGCATGCTGTTCTTCTTGAACCAATACACAAAGCAAAACAGCCTTTGAAATCCATGCATTTCTGAATTTTGCAATGCAGTTCGGCAAACCACCAGTGTGTACAAAAATGCATTATTTTAAGGGGAAAGTTTCCATAAAAATGCACATATGAGCGAAGGCAGCATATAAACATTCATTGCATTAGGGAAAATAAATGTGTATATTTAGTCAAAGCTGAACACAAAAATGTGATTAGTAGGAAGAATTTGCACTAAAACGCTGAGGAATTTTCATGAGGATGTTTTATTTTTCTTGGGGTGGGTGGGCTGCAAATTGCTGTGAATATGTGGAGGACCAAATTTAAGAGTTTGGAAAAATGAGAATCAAGATTGACAGATCTACCCATCCCTATTTGGACCTCCAAATGGTATGTGTGAGTGCACAGCCTGGATAGCTCAGTTGGTAGGGCATAGCATAATAGAATCTTAGATTTGGAAGGGACCCCAAGGGTCATCTAGTCTAACCCCCTGCAATGCATGGTGATGATAATGTCAAGGTTGCAGGTTCAATCTCCATATGGGAAAACTGCATATTCCTGCATTGTAATAATAATAATAACAATAATAACAATTTATTATTTGTACCACGACCATCTGGCTGGGTTTCCCCAGCCACTCTGGGCAGCTTTCAACAAAGATTAAAAATACATTAAAATGTCACACATTAAAAACTTCCCTGAACAGGGCTGCCTTCAGATGTCTTCTAAATGTCAGGTAGTTGTTTATCTCTTTGACATCTGATGGGAGGGTGTTCCACAGGGCGGGCACCACTACTGAGAAGGCCCTCTGCCTGGTTCCCTGTAGCTTTGCTTTTTGCAATGAGGAAACCGCCAGAAGGCCCTCAGAGCTGGACCTCAGCGTCCAGGCAGAATGATGGAAGTGGAGACGCTCCTTCGGGTATACTGGGCTGAGGCCGTTGAGGGCTTTAAAGGTCAACACCAACACTTTGAATTGTGCTCGGAAACATACTGGGAGCCAATGTAGGTCTTTCAAGACTGGTGTTATGTGGTCTTGGCGGCCGCTCCCAGTCACTTAATTGCAGTTTCTGGGTCACCTTCAAAGGTAGCCCCACGTAGAGCGCATTGCAGTAGTCAAAGCGGGAGATAACCAGAGCATGCACCACTCTGGCAAGACAGTCTGCGGGCAGGTAGGGTCTCAGCCTAGATGATCCTCGGGGTCCCTTCTAACTCTAAAATTCCACGTGCTTTTAAAAAGGTAAAGGGACCCCTGACCATTAGGTCCAGTCATGACCGACTCTGGGGTTGTGGTGCTCATCTCACTTTATTGGCCGAGGAAGCCGGTGTCCAGCTTCCGGGTCATGTGGCCAGCATGACTAAGCTGCTTCTGGCGAACCAGAGCAGCACACAGAAACACCGTTTACCTTCCCGCCGGAGTGGTACCTATTTATCTACTCGCACTTCGACGTGCTTTCGAACTGCTAGGTTGGCAGGAACAGGGACTGAGCAACGGGAGCTCACCCCGTTGCGGGATTTGAACCGCCAACCTTCTGATCGGCAAGTCCTAGGCTCTGTGGTTTAACCCACAGCGCTACTCGCGTCCCAGTGCTATTAATGTGCTATTAATGATCTATTAATGTGAACAGCGTAGTGTAGAAAGCAGAAGCAGAAATAAGCACCGAGGAGGAAATACGCACACCTGCAAACCTTTGCAAGGTTCCCCTAGCAGTGGCTAATCTGGGATATGCTGACATTAGGAACACACAGCCAAATTTCCCTTCAAAGGCCGGCCTGTCGGCAAAACTCCCTGGCATTTGTCAGCCTTGTCTTCCGATGCGGAGGACCGGAGTTTTTAAAGATCCCCAAAGTGCCGGATGATTGCAGAGAGGAGCCATCCATCACTTTTGGGATGAGAAAATCCAGTTTGCCGTTCCCCATGTTTGAAGCGACTAAGAAGGAGTGGCAGGTCCGTGGGGCAGACATGACATTTTGATAACTAAACACTCAAAGCGAACCATATCTAAGAGGCTGCCGAGAAGATTCCCCCCCACAGCAATACGCGATCAGTAAGTGGAAATTAATTAAAGGACTCTACATTTTTCAGCAGAATTATTAACAGGAAGTTCTGGCTGCAAATTGAAGCTGGAGTGACTTAGTCCGCTTCCTCAGCCTTGCTGAGCAGCACGTAATGGTGGGTCTATAGCTCAGAGGCTACACAGGTATTTTGAACTCGGAATACCCCCACATTCCTGCCCCCCCTCCCAGCCAAAGGATCTCAAGCAGCAATCGTGGGAGGCCTCACAAAGACTGGGATGAATTTTCAAATTGTTGAAAGCTTGGGCTAAATAGGGAGGGTTTTGGAGGGTTGAATGAGGGAGCAAAACAATGTTCTTCCATTTGCATTTTTTTTTTGGGGGGGAGGGTCATATTTGGGAGACAGTTCACCAAGGGTGGTAGTCAACTAAATTATTCCAAGAAGTCCCATTGAAATTAAGGGACCTAACTTAGTCATTTTCATTAATTTCAGCCAGTCTATTCTGAGTGAAACTTAATTGAATACCACTCCAAAATTCCCTCACAGCTCCGATCACCTGGCAGCTGCTATCTTCTTTTTCCTCAGAACGCCAAGTTTCTGAGTGGCATTTTGTGTGTGTGTGTGTGTGTGTGTGTGTGTGTGTGTAAATGGCATCCACCACAAGAAACAAACAGACAGACAGACAGACAGACAGACAAACAAACAAACAAAATGGTATTTTGGGCTGCCATTCCTCCACCCCAGAATACCTTATAGAGCATGGCATCCTGTGAGGAAATGGCATTTGTCAGCTGAACAGCCGTGGAGATAGCTTTGGTTGTTTTTCTCTCATGAAATTGAAGGCCTACACCCTGTAAATTGCTACAAAGGCCACTCCAATGGCCTGAAAATAGAGCTGCAAACAGTGTGTGTGTGTGTGTGTGTGTGTGTGTGTGTGTTGCTGAAATATACTCGGAGTCGAGTGTGAATTTCATGCTCTTTATTCAGTTCGTAGTAACAATGAATGAAACTTCCCCCAAAATGTCTAGCTTTATATATATTATTTACACAATGGGCCCCGCGTGATAGGCTAATTCCGGGCTTTTCCTGTAGGCCAATCAGGTTGCCGATTCACTTCCTCCAGAAGTCTGATTGGCTGCTCCTGAAGACCAATCTGGTCGCTGATTCACTTCCACCTAGAGCTGGACTGGGTGGCTCCTGCAGACCAATCAGACTGCTGCATTCTGGATCCTATTGTTCTAGGATTCAGCTCAGTACATAACAGTCGCCCGTGCCTGTTATTTATCTGATTCATTTCTTGGAACTTAGGAAACTTATACGAACTCAGGCCATTGGTCCATCTAGCTCAGAATCACCTGCACTGTCCGGTAGATGCTCTCCAGCATTACAGGCAGAGAGCGTCTCCCAGCCCTACCTGGAGATGCCATGAATTGAACCTAGATCCTTTTGTGTGCAGATGAGGTGCTCTACCACTAAGCTATGGCCCTTTCCCCCCAAATCGAGTGAGTATAGGAACATAATAAGCTGCTGAGAATCAGAGTACTGTAGAGTTGGAAAAGACCCTCCTGAGGAAAATCAAGTCCAGGTTCCTGCAATGTAAGAATCTCAACTAAAGCATCCATGGAAGATGGTCATTCAACCTCTGCTTAGAAACCTCCCAAGGAAGGAGAGTCCACAACCTCCTGAGGGAGACGGTTCCACGGTCGAATTGCTCTTACATTAGAAAGTTCTTCCTGGTGTTGAGTCAGAATCGCCTTTGGTGTAACCTGAATTTTTTATTTCATGTCCTGTCCTCTGGAGCAAGAAAAAACAAGCCCTTTAGATATTTGAAGGCATCTCCTCTCAGTCTCTTCTTATCCAGGCTAAATATACCCAACTTCCTCTATCATTCCTCATATAAGTCTTGGTTTCCAGACCCTTGAACTTGGTCATCTTAGCTGCCCTCCTCTGCACACGTTCCCATTTATCAATATCCTTCTTAAATTGTGGTGCCCAGAGATGGACACAGTATTCCCGGTGTGGTCTGACCAAGGCAATATGGGGTTGTTGTTTAGTCGTTTAGTCGTGTCCAACTCTTCGTGACCCCATGGACCAGAGCACGCCAGGCACTCCTGTCTTCCACCGCCTCCTGCACTTTGGTCAAACTCATGTTAGTAGCTTCCAGAACACTGTCCAACCATCTCGTCCTCTGTTGTCCCCTTCTCCTTGTGCCCTCCATCTTTCCTAACATCAGGGTCTTTTCCAGGGAGTCTTCTCTTCTCATAAGGTGGCCAAAGTATTGGAGCCTCAGCTTCAGGATCTGTCCTTCCAGTGAGCACTCAGGGCTGATTTCCTTCAGGATGGATAGGTTTGATCTTCTTGCAGTCCATGGGACTCTCAAGAGTCTCCTCCAGCACCATAATTCAAAGGCAAAATAGAGTGATGCTATTACTTCCCTTGATCTGGGCACTGTAGAGGATTGGTGGTTTTTCTCCAGGGTTTCAAGACAGCCGATTGCAAAAACAATGCTGATGACCCAACTAAAATATCAATATTACCCACAAGCCTGGGTGAGCCGGCATGTATTGAGTTGGATCTTGACCTTGAAGAGCTACAAGGAGACAATACTGGGTTACATGGGTCAGTGCCCTGACTCAGGGTAATGCTGCTTCTTATATGACCTTTACACCAGGGTCATGGCTTTGCCACAAAGAATCCTGGGAACTGTAGTTTGTTAAGGCAGTACTGTCACTGTGGCTAGTGCCATATAATACTTATTCTGCATTTGTAAGAAGGTGATATTTACTGCGGCAGCATCCAAACTTTGGAACTCCCTTCCTATTGACATCAGCCGGGCGCCTTCACTGTATGCTTTCTGGTGCCAGCTGAAAACAAATTTGTTCCTGCAAACCTCTCTAGACATGCAGAGCTCTGACATGTGTTGTAATCTGGTCTTTAGCATTTATTTTAATTTTGTTTCGAATGTTTTAAATAGTAGTTCTTAACTGGTTTCTGCTGAACACTTTTATTATTTTTGTAACGAGCTTTGAAGATTTGCCTTTTTTTTTATACATCCGAGCAGTGTATAAATTTTAACAGCTAACTAATAGATAAAGGGACGCGGGTGGTGCTGTGGGTTAAACCACAGAGCCTAGGACTTGCTTATCAGAAGGTCGGCAGTTCGAATCCCCCCAACGGGGTGAGCTCCCGTTGCTCGGTCGCTGCTCCTGCCAACCTAGCAGTTCAAAAGCACATCAAAGGGCAAGTAGATAAATAGGTACCACTCTGGCGGGAAGGTAAATGGCATTTCCGTGCGCTGCTCTGGTTCGCCAGAAGCAGCTTAGTCATGCTGGCCACATGACCTGGAAGCTGTACGCCGGCTCCCTCGGCCAATAAAGTGAGATGAGTGCCACAACCCGAGTCGGCCACGACTGGACCTAATGGTCAGGGGTCCCTTTACCTTTACCTAACCAATAAATAAAAGTGCTGAGAATTGGTTTAACTCACAGCGCCACCCGCGTCTATAAATTTTATAATTTTATAAATTTATAATTGTATAAATTTTAACAGCTAACTAACTAATAAATAAAGGTGCTGAGAATTGGTAGAAGACCCTAATTTCCCTCCCAGACCTACAGAGTTCCTTGGGGAGAGGGACTGATTGTGAAACAGCTCTGGAGATTGTAGAAGGAACAACACAGACCTGAGATCTTTATTGCTCCCTCCAGCCCCTGTAGTCTTTCTCTTGCTTGCTACCGGTTATCATCTTCCCCAAGATTGGTTGCTTTAAGAAAAACTTCTCCGGCCGGCTCTCGCGACGCACATTCCAGTTTTATCTGAGACCCTTTTTAATGGGGTGCCATGGGAGGAAGCGCAGAGCTCTTGGGACTAGAGCCTAAAACAATTGTACGCAGTCAGCTTTTGCGATAAGCGCGGGAGTGATCGGAGGCTGCCGGTTCCCAGCGGACTGTCTCTGTCTCCCATCAGAGCAGGCAGCAGGAGGAAGACAAATGAAGTCGTCTTGCAGTTACTTACTGAGTCAATCTGTAGCAAGAGTCTTCTTTCCTTGCAAGCCAGAAGTTGCTGGCGTGACTCCGTGATCTAAGGGAGACATAAAAATAGAACCAGCCTGTTCTCAGACACACACACAGAGCTCAGACTCGGAAGTAAGGATGTAACAACAAAGGAGGGAGGGAGTGTGGTTAATTGCCGACGAAATTTGCTGGTGCAATTTTGCAAAAGCGAAATAACACAAGAAGAGCTCTGCTGGATCCGGGAATAGGCCCATCTAGACAGCATCCTGTTCCCACCTGGGTCCAGCCAGATCCCCTTGGGGAACCCACAAACAGAACCTGAACACAACAGCACACTCACTGCTTCTGATTCTCTGCAACTGGTACCTCTAACAGCGAAGGCAGAACAAAGCCATTGTGGTTTGTAACCATGAATTTGCCTCATCTTCTTTCAACGCCTTCCAAGTCACAAATGGACACCCTGATTTGGGCTCCCAAGGGAATCTAGAATCATAAAACTGGAGACTTGGAAGGGACCCTGAGGGCCCGAGGGCCCAACCCCTCACAGTGCAGACTCCATTTGAAATACGCCACCATCATAACTTTTAGTCCGCAAACGATATCCATTTGCTTACGTTTCCCCTCGCAGTCTTCCCTTTGCGCTGAAACGAATGAGATGCAATGAAATTGCGACAGCGTCACTTATCGCATCATTATGCGAGATCAGTTATGTAAGCTGTGGCATTTCACCACAGCCGATGAAACAGGCCACATCGTTGGCGGCTTCCACCCTAGTTTGCCAACATTTCCATTTCAACAAGACCAAGGACAATTTCTCAGGTAGTTTACATGCACCTGTGGCGATCACAAGGGGTCCCCGGACGTTTGTCGGTCTATTGATCCCTGTGCCACCACTGTGATTGCTTTCTTCGCTGCCACCAACCCGTTTCTCCTCACGGGTTCACACGGAGCCCAGTCAGTTGTTAACATTAACAAATAATCAAGTTTATTTTTAAAGGCATGAACAAGCTTATGGTTTCAGTTAATTTTTCTTGACAGTTTCTTAATCTTAGTTTCTTTACTGACCTATATGTTCCTAACAACTTCAAACTGATTATCCCAACTATCTATCTGACTCCACCTAACAGTTCCTCTCACTCTCTCACCACACAACTCGACCAACCCACAGACTTATGCTCCCTCTTCCTTCTCCAACTCCCAACTCTCAACTGACATTCACACAACTCCAACTCTCACTCTAACTCCTCCCCTCGGGGTCCCACTGGCCAATCACGTCACACTCATTTAACCCTTTCCTTATGACCCACCTAGGAGACAAACACCACAGCACCCTTGTGAAGAAGACTCTGAATATGCTCAGGTGTACCCTGATATACGCTAACACACACACACAGCTTTATGAATCTATATTAAATGTTTCCCAGGCATCAAGGGGACTGTGATGCATTCGCAGTCCGCGGCGCCGGCGAGCCAGACTCAGTGCTCACAGTGCCAAATGTACGAGGTGACAGGTGTTAATGAAGTGAAAGGGCTGTGAATCCGCTCCAGAACGCCCACGCATTAGAGACTTAACCACTCTGACTGTTGAATACTCTAGCAGTTGTGTGTGTGTGTGTGTGTGTGTGTGTGTGTGTGTTCTAGCTGGCTAGTATCAAAGATGGGCTGCTGTGATGCACTGGTGAGTTGTGGCAATTTTCTTCACGTTGCTACAGCAACATCGGGGGGTTGTAATCTAAACGCGGCTTGCTGTTCTAGGGAATGTAATTCGTGCTTTGGGTGAGATTCTGGATTCAAATCCCCGACAAGCTGATATAACAGCAGGGAGGAAGGGGGAGACGGGAGGTCTATGCAGGGGGAGGATCCATAGCTCAGCGCACGATCTCATGCTGTGCAGGCAGATGGTGCCAGGTTAAATCAGGGTAGATGGGTTTAAATCCAGGTGATTTAAATCCCTGCCCTGAACCAGATTACGTGCAGACCGGTTGCAGTGACCGTTTCAAAATTTCAGCTTGCGAATGCTACCCGGAAGAGCGATCCGAAACCACCCATCATTCCTAGAACGTATGAGCCCTGCTTGAGAAGTCAGGGACCTAGCAGAGGCAACCCACATTCAGGATTCGAGCACAAGAGCACTCGCCTCTCCTATTTCCACAACTGGTATTACTACTGTAACTCGCTCTACGCGGGGCTGCCCTTGAAACTGTCCCAGAAACTCCAGCAGGTGCAGAATGCTGCAGCGAGGCTCCTCACGGGGTCCATGCCATGGGAGCATATTCCCCCAGTGCTGTACCAGTTGCACTGCCTTCCGGTGGAGTATAGGTGCTGGTTTTGACCTTTAACGCCCTATGCGGCCTAGGACCCTCATACTTACAGGACCGCCTCTCCTGGTATGTCCCACAGAGGACCCTAAAGTCCATGAATAATAATAGCTTGAAGGTCCCGGGCCCTAAGGAAGCCAGACTATCCTCCACCAGGGCCAGGGCTTTTTCAGTGACTGCTCCGACCTGGTGGAATGCTCTGTCCCACGAGACTAGGGCCCTCCAGGACTTGATCTCCTTCCGCAGGACCTGTAAGACAGAGCTATTCTGCCTGGCCTTCAGTTTGAATTAGCCTGATCCTCTATTCCAACGGTTCTCAACCTGTGGGTCCCCAGATGTTGTTGGACTACAACTCCCATCATCCCTGAGCTCTGGCCTTGCTAACTAGGGTTGATGGGAGTTGTAGTTCAACAACATCTGGGGACCCACAGGTTGAGAAAGGTTGCTGTCTATTCCCTTTCCTCTTCTATGAAGAAACCCTTTCTGGGACCCCACATTTAAATTATTCCCTGATCTCCTTGCTGGCCCTAGTAGGACCAACTTGGCCAGTTAGCCCTGGTGATTATTTGATGTCTACTGACTGGGGTCCCCCCCCCAAATGACCCCTGAATTTTGAATTTTATTGATATTGATGCTGCCTTTTATGTTGTATTTTATGCTGTTTTATGCTGTTTTTAAGTCGCATTTTAGTCAATGTTTTATATTTGCTGTTAGCCACCCTGAACCTGGTTTTTTAAACCAGGAAAGGCGGGGTATAAATAAAATATTATTATTATTATTATTATTATTATTATTATTATTATTATTTGAAGCGCTAGTGCCTTGAACGGCGAAGGGAGAACATAGGCATCATAGCTTTGCCCTCCATTAATGCATCCAATTCGCATTTATTTATTTATACATGCATACATATTCGCATATATTTCACTTTTCCTCCAAAGAGCTTAAGGTGGTGAAGGTGGTTCTCTGTTTTTGTGTGTGTGTGTGTGTGTTTGGTATATAATTTTTATTAAATTTTCTGTTTTACAATTTAAAATACTCGTTTTTACATCCTTAAGATATCAATGACTTCCCTTCTTCTCTTTCCCTGGTTCATATCATAAATCTGCATATTTTACCAAAAAAACAACCTATACTATTCAGTACTGCATTCTTGCCTCCATCAAAACTTATTTATACTGTTGAATTTACCTTAACGCTGCCAACGTTTTCAGCTGTACACAGTTATTTCCCTTATATTCAATAGCCGTTTCCCAATCTTCTCTAAAGGCATGTTATCCAATAAAACACATGTTTTCCAATCTTCTCTAAAGGTGGTTCTCTGCTCTCTGTTTCAGCCTGACAACCACCCTGCGAGGTAGGTTCAGTTTGAGTTAGCCGTGCCCAGCCACTTGAATAGGTCTACTCTGAGTAGGACTATAACACTGGATAAGCAAGCCTTTGAGCAGACCGAGCTCACCGTGCGAGCTTTGTGACTGAGTGCCCAACCCGCAAACCACACTGTCTCTGTTAAAGCTGTCAAAATTATTACATCTTGTGGCAGTGAGTTCCAAAGGCTTAACTCTGCCTACAAGGCAGGTTTCAGTTTCTCTGTGCACGTGCGAAGCTAGTAAGGAACATTAAAGGAGTTGGACTAGATGGCTTTGGGGTCCCTTCCAACAGTACACTTCCACGATCAGTCACTCGATAGCTAAGTCCGCTGTCCTGTGCACACTTAGTTAGAAGTAAGTTCCTTTGCACAGAGTGGGGTTCTTACATCTGAGTAAACACGGAAGGGATGATCCTGTTGGTGTTCAGCATATTCCATAACCCAGGACTGGTTCCTGCTAGACATAATAGTGTTTCTTCACGAAATGAAAAGTAAATGTCTTTGCTGTTTGGTTAGCGGAGGCCATAAATATTCAAAATTTGAAATAGCACTCCAGAGCTCAGAGAGCTGAGTTGGGGCGAGAGAAGAGGAGAACAGTATCAGCCGTCTGGGTTCTGCGGATGAGCCTGGTGAACTGGTGCCTGCCTGGCAGTGTAGTGTAATGGTCAGAGTGTGGCACGAGGTCTGGGTTCGAATCCTCGCTTGGCCACAAAGCTCACCAGGTGGCCTTGGGTCATGACAAGGGATGTGGAGAAATGCGGTTCCGTTCCCATAAAGAGGCAAACTTACCTAATTTACACCTTGCGAAAAACAATATGCAAACCGAAACATAGCCACTCTTCAAGATTCACGCTTCTTTGAATATTGCAATGCAGTTTGCCAGCCAAGGAATTTCTGCCAGAAAGCATAGATCAGGGGGGAAAGTAGGCGTGCAAATGCATATATTGGTGAAAATAGGGCGAAAATGCATTCTGTTAGTGAAAATTGCTTTGCAAAAATAAATAAATGTGTGTATTAGGCAACACTGCATGCAAAAGGCGTAGATGAAGAGAAATTCAAACTAATATGCTGACAAATATTTCATGCTGACTTTAAGAAACAACAGCAAAACGTTGTGGGAATGTGGAGAAGTGAACTTAAAACTGGAAAAAATAAGAAACTGGGAAAAACAAAAATCAGTAAATTTGCTCATCCCCAGCCCTGGCGAACTGTGGCCCATTAATTTCAATGGATCAGCCCTGAGTTGATCATAGTTGTACATAACCCACAGTCCTTCAGCCGAATCTACCTCACAGCGTTGTTGTGAGGGTGAAACAGAAAGAGGAAGAAACAATGCATGTTGCTTGAAAAACTTGGAGGGAAATTGTGTCATAAATAAAATAAGTAACGTTTTCAGTTTTCCAAACCATGGCTATTTCTTTACATTCCGAACCATAGTTTGGAAAAATCAAATTGCCCTCTTGTGCACATAGCTGAATTGAATTGCCTTCCCATTTGATCAAATCATCGTTTGTCATTACGTCTGAAGCAGCAGAACAACACTGGAGTGATCCACCCAAACGTTTTGCCGGTTGGGTATTTTCTTCTCGTTGATCTTTTTTTTAAGGAAACCCCACACAGAGAAGAGTGGCCCTTGATTCAGTGTGTTGTGCATGGTTATGGTTTAAGAGATTATTAGGCTTTAACATGGTTCCTTTCATTAAAGGCAGATTTTTGTTGTTGTTGTTTAATCGTTTAGTCGTGTCCGACTCTGCCTGACCCCCTGGACCAGAGCACGCCAGGCACTCCTGTCTTCCACTGCCTCCCGCAGTTTGGTCAAACTCATGCTGGTAGCTTCGAGAACACTGTCCAACCATCTCGTCCTCTGTCGTTCCCTTCTCCTTGTGCCCTCCATCTTTCCCAACATCAGGGTCTTTTCCAGGGAGTCTTCTCTTCTCATGAGTATTGGAGCCTCAGCTTCACAATCTGTCCTGCCAGTGAGCACTCAGGGCTGATTTCCTTAAGAATGGATAGGTTTGATCTTGCAGTCCATGGGACTCTCAAGAGTCTCCTCCAGCGCCATAATTCAAAAGCATCCATTCTTTGGTGATCAGCCTTCTTTTTAAAGCCAGGTTATTATTCATATGACCACAACTGCTAGAACTGATCTTTTAAGTCATTGATTTAAAATTTCAGGCCAGTATTCAACTGACTAGCTTTGCCAGCAGTAGGACTGTTGCTTGGGTGATGGCACTGCTCCCTTCTCCACACGCCTGACCCCCCCCAAAAAATCTGTCCTTAACCCCCCGAAGCAGATTGGGAAGGATGAGGGGGATGTTCACCCTCATTTTAAAGGCTCTCAAGTTGGAATGTGCTGTATATAGAAGGTCATCGGATTTGTTCCTGAAAAATGTAAGTTTTTAGTCCTCAGGGTTGTGTAAAGGAAAATAGAAATCAGAAACACATGGCCACGGTCTTCTGGAAGGTTAGGCCTAAAACAGCAAGGGGAAGGGCCGTCGCTGAATGGGAGAGATGCTTGTTGCAAGTCTGAACCGAGTTTGCAAGGACATTTACTTGAATGCACGAACAAGCCTTCTCATGTCCAAGAGGGAAATGAGCCAAGGGCATGTGGCTGACATACATACATACTCCCACCCCTCCACACATGTTTGCCCTCACCGTGTCAAGGCTGAGCACCCAGAGGGGGCTTTGTATGACGTCACAAATCCAGTTCAGAGCGAGGGTCGTGCTTCTGACCCTCACTCTGAATGGGCAAACGGCTTTCCCTCTGCTGAATCGCAGAGATGTTTGTATTGCAATGGGGCAAAAGTCTTAGGTGAAAATCTCCCTACACTGATATTTGAGGGACGCAGGTGGTGCTGTGGGTTAAACCATAGAGCCTAGGGCTTGCCGATCAGAAGGTCGGTGGTTCGAATCCCCATGACGGGGTGAGCTCCTGTTGCTCGGTCCCTGCTCCTGCCAACCTAGCAGTTCAAAAACACGTCAAAGTGCAAGTAGATAAATAGGTACCACTGTGGCGGGAAGGTAAACGGTGTTTCCGTGCACTGCTCTGGTTCGCCAGAAGTGGCTTAGTCATGCTGGCCACATGACCCAGAAGCTGTACGCCGGCTCCCTTGGCCAATAAAACGAGATGAGCGCCACAACCCCAGAGTTGGCCACGACTGGACCTAATGGTCAGGGGTCCTTTACACTGATATTTGGTAGCAGATGATGGAAAAAATCCCGTTCCTTGAGACCCTGCAGAATCAACCAGACAGTTGTGAGCTAGACGGACCAGTGGTCCGGCTTGCTATAAAGCAGCTCTCTGCATCCCCATCCTTTAAGACTTTCCTTTGCCTGCAAAAAGAGATTTTCTTCCAGGGCCGCAGCATTGCAGCATCTCCCCGGCATGAAACCACATCACGAGGCAAGCAGCGGGAGAACATTTGATATTCAGTCCCCAATTAGGGCTCTCTTCTCTCCACTTTTATTTTTTTATTTTTTTGGCAAGCAGCTGAACGATTCCTGAGCGCTGCCCTTCCCCTGGTAGCTGCAGAGAGGTGGCTTCGAGGCAAAGGGGTTTTCAAAACATTCAGTGTGCGAAACCAGGAGGGAGAGCGGGGAGGGAGACTGGATCATCAGCCCCCTCCTGGCCCTGTGCTTTGCATGTTCTTGTCCCTCAGGAGGAGGGAAGCCAAATGGAATGAGGTGGCCATTAGCTAGAGCTGCTTCTGCATCAGGTCTGAATGAATAAGATACAGACAGAGCCCTTCGCTTTGTGCAATGCCTTGCTTGAGTACGGCCCAGTTCTCATCGCAGGGCTAAGTGTGGAGACGAGGACTCACACGTGTAAATGCAGTTCTGTAAAATTAAAACAACGCCCAAATCTCTGCATATAGAAAACTAGCATGTAAGAAAGAAGAGCCCTTTAATAATAATAATAATTTATTATTTATACCCCGCCCATCTGGTTGGGCTTCCCCAGCCACTCTGGGTGGCTTCCAACAAAATATTAAAATACAGTAATGCATCAAAAATTAAAAGCTTCCCTGAACAGGGCTGCCTTCAGATGTCTTCTAAAAGTCTGGTAGTAGTTGTTCTCTTTGACATCTGGTGGGAGAGTGTTCCACACGGCGGGCGCCACTACCGAGAAGGCCCTCTTCCTGGTTCCCTGTAACTTGCCTTCTCGCAGCGAGGGAACCGCCAGAAGGCCCTCGGCGCTGGACCTCAGTGTCCAGGTAGAACGATGGGGGTGGAGATGCTCCTTCAGATATACTGGACCGAGCACATTGCAGTAGTCCAAGTGAGAGATGACCAGAGCATGCATCACTCTGGTAAGGCAGTCCGTGGGCAGATAGGGTCTCAGCCTACATACCAGATGGAACTTTGCTTTCTCACTGACACTCTAGATTTCTCAGTGCAGGGATTTTTCTTGGATGGAGGAGGATTCGGTGAGGTGAACCATCACCCCCTTCCCGGCAATTTGATGTGGTATAGTCCAAACACACTCTAATCACCCAAGTAAGAGCTAGGCCTTAGCAGCATCACCAGCAATTTAGTGCAGGGGATGGAGAAGTGAAGAGAATATATAACATTTCTTGGTAGCCCCTTACCTAATTTCAGTTTCTATAAAGATTCAAGCTATATTCCCTGATTCCAGGTGTCTGGAGGGTGTCCATGGTACTTGGTGGCTAGCGTAGCACACTGCACATGCTCAGAGGTGCCCCATCTTTATTCAAGGCCCTGGGGGACTTGACATCTTTCCACAGGGCCTGCAAGACAGAGCTGTTCCGCCTGGCCTTTGGTTTGGATTCAGTCTGACCCTTATGTTTCCCTCCCCTTATGGTTTTGATCTATGGGCTACTATTAAAATGAGTCTGCAGTTTAAATTGCATTTTAACTTGTATTTTAAATTGGTTCCCCCCCCCCATTATGTTTTTACTGTAATTTTACTGGTATTAGCCACCCTGAGCGGGGAGGACGGGGTATAAATAAAATCTATTATTATTATTATTACTCTCACCTCAATCTCCTCCTAATCTTCAGGCAGGAGAGGTACCCATCTGAAATCTGAGTGGAAGGAAGCAGGAAATAATGTGAGGAAATGCGCAAAGTTTCACCTGGCAGGTTGCCCCTTCTCTGATGTTGTTGCCCTGGGAAATGCACAGGGGCACAGCCTTGTTTCTTCCTTGCTTAAGGGAGACACCAGAAACTTTGCAACAAGTAGTCGCTCATTATTGTAGCCATTCGCCAGCTTCCACTCAGACCTATTTGCTTGTCTATCAACCACAACAGTTCAGCTAGGGAAAGGGGCAAGTGATGGATGCCACACTTTGGAAACCTGGGGTGTATGGAGGTGAGCAACTAGCTAGTGAAACTGCCTGGAAATACAACCAATTGCAATGGTAGAACTTGAGGAAACAGGAATGTACTCTTCAAAGTTTGGACTAGGTTTGGACCTACCCGATCGATCCACATTTTCTGAAACAATATGAAATTGGGCATCCTTCAGAATTTTCACTTCTCTGAATTTTGCAGCATAGTTCTCTACTCAAGTAATGGGTACAAAAATGCCTGTATTAGTGAAAATAACATTGAAAAACACATTGTTTTCCGGGAAATTGCATTGCAAAAATTTGTATATTGGGTAAAATTGCGTACAAAAGTGTGTGTATCAGGAGAAATTCACACCAAAATGTGGGTGACTTTTCATGAGGATTAAATAAATAAGGTAAAGGTAAAGGGACCCCTGACCATTAGGTCCAGTCGTGACCGACTCTGGGGTTGCGGCGCTCATCTCGCTTTATTGGCCGAGGCAGCCGGCATACAGCTTCCAGGTCATGTGGCCAGCATGACTAAGCCGCTTCTGGCAAACCAGAGCAGCGCACGGAAACACCATTTACCTTCCCGCCGGAGCGGTACCTATTTATCTACTTGCACTTTGACGTGCTTTCGAACTGCTAGGTTGGCAGGAGCAGGGACCGAGCAATGGGAGCTCACTCCATTGCGAGGATTCAAACTGCTGACCTTCTGATCGGCAAGCCCTAGGCTCTGTGGTTTAACCCACAAACTGAAGTGGAAGTGGAGAAAGAGAAAGAGAACGAGAGAGAGAGAGAGACTGACAGAGTCACCCACTTCCCCAATATCTCATCTGGCCAGGAGAAGGGGAATATTTTCCTGATTTCAGGCAGGTCCTGCTTGGTTTAATTTAGGCTTAATGGGAGGTTATGCAAAGGTTACCTGAAGGCTGAATGAGATTAGGACCACCCAAGAGGTGTCAAGCCTCTTGAGACTTTCTGAGTAAGGATTCCTTAAAACTAAGCCAGGGAAATGAGGGACTGGAGATTTATGCATGAGCCTAACAGGGATTATGGACACCTGCATCTTTTTGTCTCAATAAATTTAGGGGCTTTTGCGAGGCCATTTGTTTGCTGTCTTTAATAAAAACTCAGATTGAAAGCGAAGCTTACTAGACTCCTAGAGCAATCCTCTGCAATGCAGGAATCCCGGCTGAAAAATCCCTGGCAGATGGCCCTCCAAACCTCTGAAGGAGGAGAGCCCACCATCTCCCAGGGTAGCCCATTCCACTGTCAAAGAGCTCCTACCACCAGAAAGTTCTTCCTAATGGTTCATCTCATAACTTGGATCCATTGATGGGGGGTCCCACCCTCTGGAGCAGCAAAGAAACAAACAAGCTCGCTCCATCTTCCTTGTGACTGCCCTTCAGATATTTTTTTTTTATTATTATTATTATTATTATTATTATTATTATTATTATTATTATCATTATCATCATCATCATAAATCATTTTTATTGATTTTCCAATAAAAAACATCCAATTAAACATCCAATCATAATACTTCAATTAAAATAAAAACCTAAAATAAAAAAGATCAAATTATAGTCCAAATTATATTTATTAATTTCTTGGGGCTCTCCACGGTCTGGATCTCTGGAGCATATCTCCACATCTTAGTCCTGCTTCTCCTGTTGTTTCCATATTTTCCACATCTTGAATTATGAAGCGTTAAAATCAAGCCCTTCAGACATTTAAAATGGTCACTGCACCGGTTGGGCAGAATCAAGGTGGTTATATGCCCTACTTTACTTTACTTTACTTTACTTTACTTTACTTTACTTTACTTTACTTTACTTTACTTTACTTTACTTGAAAGAACCCTGTATTTGAAGGAATGTCTGGAATGAGTCTGATTTATGTATAAAGAACCCTGAGAAGTGAGAGCGGGCATGTGTGTGTGCTGGTTTGTCAACTCCAGGGGGTCGAGGTGTCAAACAAATTTTTGTTTGAAGAGGGCTTGGCCCCCTCAATGTTGAGGGGGCCAGGTATGAGTGCTCAGCCTCCTCCAGAGGATGTGACGTCATGGAAGGCTGCACTGGCCTATCAGGAGATGCTGAGGGGACTGGCACAGCCTGGCAGAAGGTCGCACCAGCCTGTACAGTGTTGGTTGACTTGTGCAACATCACATGATGTACTGAGTTGAATAGGATCCAAAATGCAGCAGTCTGATTGGTCCTAGAACAATAGGATTCAGAATGCAGCAGTCTGATTGGTCCTAGAACAATAGGATTCAGAATGCAGCAGTCTGATTGGTCCTAGAACAATAGGATTCAGAATGCAGCAGTCTGATTGGTCCTAGAAAAATAGGATTCAGCAGTCTGATTGGTCCTAGAACAATAAGATCCAGAATGCAGCAGTCTGATTGGTCCACGGGAGCCACCCAATCCAGCTCCAGGTGGAAGTGAATCCGGAACCTGATTGGCCTACAGGAGAATCCCGGAATTAACCAATCACGGGGGGCCCATTGTGTAAATAATGTATATAAAGCAGACATTCTGGGGGAACTTCCATTCCTCCTCACCGCTATGAGCTGAATAAAGGGCATGAAATCCACTCTCGACTCCGAGTATATTTCTAAGTGCTTAATCAAGGGAGAGGTAGGATGTTGGTAGTGGGTGCGGGGCTTAAAGTTGGCTATCAGCACAGTGGGCATTGAGTCCTTTGTTGGTGCCTAGGGCATGTGTATGCACAAGGCAGGACCAGGGGCTTGGCACGGAGGGTGAACAAAATCCACTGTGCCAGCCCAACCCTTACCGCCACTGCTGGGCAGGTGTGGGGCACAGAGCGTTCACAGGGCAGTGCTGTGCCACCTGCCTGCGTACCCATGCAAGGGGGAGCCTGGTCAGCTGATGCGGCCGTTGGCGGGCGCACTCCCCAACACTGACCGCATAACCATTCAGTGAGGGGGCAGGGGGCGCGATGCTAAGGCCAGGCTGGGCGCTGGGGCCCAGAGACTTCTGACGGCAATCAGGGTGGGGATCCTGGGACAACATCTATCTCGCCCCCCCTCCAAATCATGCGCCCGGGGCTGTGGGCCCCCATGCTACGGCCCTATGTAAGCATTTAGCAGAAACTCTACAGCAGACTGAGTAGCTTTGCCCCTCCCATGGTGAAAGGTATTGCGTTTCTGTTCAAAGTGAGTCGCTCTCTCATGAGTGTACCCTCTAATAATAATAATAATAATAATAATAATAATAATTTATTATTTATACCCCGCCCATCTGGCTGGGCTTCCCCAGCCACTCTGGGCGGCTTCCAAAAAAATATCAAAATACTGTAATACATCAAACATTAAATGCTTCCCTAAACAGGGCTGCCTTCAGATGTCTTCTAAAAGTCCGGTAGTTGTTGTTCTCTTTGACATCTGGTGGGAGGGCGTTCCACAGGGAGGGCTCCACTACTGAGAAGGCCCTCTGTCTGGTTCCCTGTAACTTGGCTTCTCGCAGTGAGGGAACCACCAGAAGGCCCTCAGAGCTGGACCTCAGTGTCCGGGTAGAATGATGGGGGTGGAGACGCTCTTTCAGGTATACTGGGCCGAGGCTGTTTAGGGCTTTAAAGGTCAGCACCAACACTTTGAATTGAATGAATTTATTAATAAGGTCACAGACCAGCGTCAACACACAATATCACAGATCATAAAAAAAAAATCTAAAATACAGAGGACAATATGAGTATAACAAGCATTTAAATATAAAAAATTAAAATTAATTATTAGCGTGCCCCCTTATTAGCGTAATTAACATTTGGGGGTTTGGTCATTATGGGATACCACTTGCTTCCTGCGATTAATTGCAGACGCACAGAATTTGGCTACATTTAATGTAGTCTTGAGATTCTTGTCCTCTAGCAGTAGTTTTAGACTATGGTGTTCCGATTCTTTCCTGGACTTTTGCAAAACAGGTGTAATAAAAGCCAAACGTATATCCTCATAAAGACGACAACGTAATAGTACATGTGAAGCAGTTTCAACTTCCAGCGAGCCACAGGGGCAGACCCGTGCTGTGTATGGTTTACCCTCAAATCTGCCCTGAAGTAAGGCAGAAGGGAGAACGTTGAATCTGGTGAGGGTAAAAGACCGTCTGTATTTGGGTACCTGAAGACCTGACAGATAGTTAGCTGGAGAGAAACCTCTCCCATGGTCCCTTATTGCTGGATGTTTGATCATTTCGCTCATGTGGCATTGTAATTCTACGTCACTTTGAATTGTGCTCGGAAACGTACTGGGAGCCAATGTAGGACTTTCAAGACCGGTGTTATATGGTCTCGGCGGCCGCTCCCAGTCACCAGTCTTTCGCACCAGCACTTGTGCACAGCTTCTACCTGGGCCCAGCATGACATGTGAACAAGCCTTGGGTTGCGCAGAGCACCTCTGACCGTCCTCCCGCCTTTTCCCTTCCAGGCGCTCCTTTTCAAAGGTCTCAGCATCCTCATGCTACCTCCTGTCGGCACTTCCACCTGGGCCCCCAGCCTCAGATTTCCACAGACTTCCCCCTGCCTCACGCCGTCCAGCCTCACATGGCAACCGCGCACCAGCACGGAGGCCCCCTGCACCCGCCCCTGCCGCCTCTGCCTGCCCTGCCATTCCAGGAAGTGACGGGACCCTCTTTCCTACCTCAGGCCCTTCACCAGCAATACCTCCTCCAGCAGCAGCTCCTCGAGGCCCAGCACCGCAGACTCATGCCTCATCCCAGGTGAGCAAGCATCTCCACCATCAGCCAAGATCATGAATGTGACCAGTTTGGGACATTCTAACAGCCAATGTCTTCCACGTGCTGTTGGACTCTTCTGAGCCCATTAGCCCCAGCCAACGTGGCCAACGGATTGTGCGAGTTGCAGTTCTGCTTTTGTAATATATATATATCCCTGCATGCAGAAAGCTAGCACATCAGGGACATTATTTCTACTGTAGCCTTCTTCCTGATGCCTTAGCTCTCCATGGCACCCTGCCTCCCCACCAGGGGAGAATGGGTGAGGGAAGATCTACAGGAAAGAAAGATAGACATCTCCCTGCCCTGGTGGATATTGCCGCCTGAGGCAGTTGCCTCACCTTGACTCATGAGTGAGGCGGCCCTGACTACAGCTCCTATCAATCTGTACCATTAACTAAGCTGCCTGGGGTTGTGGTGCCACAAAATCTGGGGACCTAAGGTTGAAGAACACTGTTTTAGTCCAATCCCCTGCCAAGGCAGGAAACCCACTGCTGATGCATCCTTTGTTCCCCTCAAAAACCTTTAGCAAAGGTGGGTGGATTTCAAAGGCTGTAAGTTAAATCAGTGGAGGATGGGCTTATCTACGGCTGCCTGCCATAATACCTAAGCATTGCTAGTTTTACGACTGACACCCAATTTGTGTGTCATTCCCACTCCCCACCCACATGGGGCAGCATCCTCCAAAGGGTCAACTGATATTTGTTTTTAATTTGTTTTTGCTTTTGAGTTGCTTTTAACGTTTCATGATTTTATTGTTTGGCTTTATATTTTTACGTTGTTGCAAATCCCTGCCATAATTTTTTTTAATGATACAGTGATGTATAAATAAATAAAAAAATTTAACGTAAGCATGCAGCACCCTGCGCTTTCCCTGCTTCTGCGGGCTGAAGTGGTGCCATCTAGGAAAAAACAAACCCTTTACTACTTAATTCTGGTATATAGCAGGTCTGGGAGGAACTTGTTGCCCTCCAGATACTGATGGACTCTCACCTGCCACAGTCAGTATGGACAACAGTCAGGAAAGATGGGAGATGTTCTCCAACAACATCTGGAGGGCCATTGGTTCCTCATCCCTGGCCTAAAATCTCGAAACTCTATGCACAGCAACAGTATACATAAAATGGGGTCAAACCACAGGGTGTCTGTCTCTAGAACAGTGGTTCCCAATCTTTTTTTGGCCATGCCCCACCTAAAAAGTAAAGGTAAAGGGACCCCTGACCATTAGGTCCAGTCATGACCGACTCTGGGGTTGCGGCGCTTATCTCGCTCTATAGGCCAAGGGAGCCGGCATTTGTCCACAGGCAGCTTCCGGGTCATGTGGCCAGCATGACTAAGCCGCTTCTGGTGAACCAGAGCAGCACATGGAAATGCCGTTTACCTTTCCGCCGGAGCGGTACCTATTTATCTACTTGCACTTTGAGGTGCTTTTGAATTGCTAGGTTGGCAGGAGCAGGGACCGAGCAACGGGGGCTCACCCCATCACGGGGATTCAAACCGCCGACCTTCCGATCAGCAAGCCCTAGGCTCTGTGGTTTAACCCACAGCGCCACCCAAGCACCTCTAAAATCCTGATTCCACCCCCTCCCCTGTAAAATATAATTCTTATTATTCATAAAGTGAACTCCTACTCACATGGAGGAAACCTAAAAGGCCATTAACTTGGTCTAAACAAGCTTCAAAATTGCCCCCCTTAAAAATCAAATTGCCCCCCTGTGGGGCATGTGCCTCACATTGGGAACCATGGCTCTAGAGTGTCCCTACTTCTGTGAGCTTTGAGGAGGCATCTGCTTGGTCAACCTTGAAACCACTGTCTCACTCAAGTACCTGGACCTTCTGTGTAAGCAATTCATATGTATTGCAGCCTCACCCTTCCTCCAGATGTTGTCAGACTACAACTCCCAGCATCCCCAGCCAGCATGGCACAATTGTCAGGGTTGCCGGATGCTGTAGAACGTTGGGAAGACACTAGCTTGGGAAAGGCTGTCGTTAATACTTTGTCCAATCTGTGAATACACTCTATTGACTCGAATGCTTTGTCTGCAGGTCACCATTAAGCTCTGTGCAGGCAACTGATCCAGGGTGAGTGAAGATGCGTGTGCATGCATGTGTGCATGCGTGAGTTGGTGAGGTGGGCAAGGAAGTGTGACTAAATCTGCAGACACAGCCCTATTTGCATTCAGTATACTCAGAACATCAGAAGACATGGACCAGCCATGCATTTTGCCTTCTGCCGTTTATGCAGAAACTCAATGCAAGCTGAGTTAATGGTATAGCATCCCATTGCGCTTTGAATATAGGCTTGTGCATGCTTGACAGCCCTCCATTTCGCAGGGTTCCTGAGCGCATGATCAGAGCCAGTGTTCACACCTTTGGGTTTGTTTTCACAGGCTGAATGTGTGTAGCTCATGAACGATGGGGAAAGGCAATATCTCAATAGTAGAGTGCATGCTTATCATGCAGTTCAATTCTGGACATCTCCAGTTATTTATTTTTTTAAATCCAGAAGCATAGCTCTCTCTCCCCTGCTGCCCCCCCCCCGGAGTCATTGCCAGTCAGAACAGATCAACCTTCACCAACTGTGCTCTAGTTGTTATTGAAACCCATCTCCCGTCACCCAGCCTGGTCAAATTGTAGTCCAAGGGCACCCAATTGGGGAAGGCTAGAGGGCTAGACAATACAGTCATACCTCATGTTACGTTTGCTTCAGGTTGCGCATTTTCAGGTTGTGTCCCGCGGCAACCTGGAAGTACTGGAAAGGGTTACTTCTGGGTTTTGCTGCTCGCGCATGCGCAGAAGCAGTGAATCGCGACCTACACGTGCGCAGACGCGGGTTGTGTTCTTTTCAGGTTGTGAACGGGCCTCCGGAACGGATCCCGTTCGCAACCAGAGGTACCACCATACTGGACAAGGGAGGCAAGAACATAAAAATAGCCTGCTGGATCAGCCCAATGGCTCAACTAGTCCAGCATTTTGTTCTCACAGTGGCCAATCAGATGCCTGTCGGAAGCCTGCAAACAGGACCCAAACATTTCCCCTCCTGCAGTTTCTGGCAACTGATATGCAGAAGCACTCAGTCTGGATGAAGAGCATAGACATCATAGCTAGTAGCCATCAATAGCCTTTTCCATGAATTTGCCATGGCCATAATTGCCTCCCATGGGAGCAAATTCCATAGCTGCTTCCTATGACCCTGATCCCCCAACCCCGTGCATTCATGGACCCTGAATCAGTTGTCTGAACAGGGTTATCAGTGTTGCTTTGGATGCAGGATTCAGAACCTTGGGGGTGGGTGTCAAACATGAGCCTCTTTCGCTCACCTTTCTTCCTCAACCCTGCAGGCGGACTCAGGAGCGTATCTCTGTCCAACCTCATCGGTTACATCCAAGCTTCGAATTTGGCCATCAACTGCAGACTCCTCAACCCATGGGCCCCCAGCCCAGATATTTAGCGGAAGGAACAGACTGGTAAGTCATTCCTTGCTGTGACAACTGGGGTGAAATCAGGTGCGGAGCAAGGTGGGGGCGATGGGGGTGGACTGCCCTGGGTGTCATTACCGAGGTGGGTGACATTTGGCGCGCCGCACGCCTGCGACTCCCGCCTACCCTGAGCCATGAGGGGAAGGGGATTAGTTGCACCGCATTTCGCTGCTTTGTTTTGACAGCCCTGCGCTGCCTGGCTGCTGGAGGAGGCATGCAGGCAAGCTCAACAACATAGGCCAAGCATTCACTAAAAAAGGCTTTGGTCAATCCTTCCCCCCAACAACTCCTGGCAATGACAATGAGTAGATCACAGCCAGTCTTTTTATACTCTGAGTAGATCACAGTCCCTTGGGAGTCCAACTAGATTTCAATGTGTGTGGGAGGGGGGATGACAAGAAATTTTCCGTACCGGGTACCACCTGACCTTGCTACGCCACTGGGTGAAATAGAAGTCTTGTGATACCAGTTCCCGTGAGGAACGGTTGAAGGAGCTGGGCATGTGTATAGCATGGAGAATGGAAGACTAACAGGAAACATGATGGCAATGTTCAAATATCTGAAGGGTGTCATGCAACAGTAGTTTAGTGGCAAATTCAGAAGTGCAGGATCCCTTAATGAGAGTCACACAACAACACCCCCTCACAGTCACACCCCGTTCTAAGACCATGCAGCCTTCTAAGACAATACAGTGTGATGATGATAATAATAATAATAATAATAATAATAATAATAATAATAATAAATGCATTACCATAATCAGTGCAAATTGATGCTTTTGAATTATGGTGCTGGAGGAGACTCTTGAGAGTCCCATGGACTGCAAGAAGATCAAACTGATCCATTCTGAAGGAAATCAGCCCTGAGTGCTCACTGGAAGGACAGATCGTGAAGCTGAGGCTCCAATACTTTGGCCACCTCATGAGAAGAGAAGACTCCCTGGAAAAGACCCTGATGTTGGGAAAGATGGAGGGCACAAGGAGAAGGGGACGACGGAGGACGAGATGGTTGGACAGTGTTCTCAAAGCTACCAGCATGAGTTTGACTAAACTGCGGGAGGCAGTGGAAGACAGATGTGCCTGGCGTGCTCTGGTCCATGGGGTCACGAAGAGTCAGACATGACTAAACGCCTAAACAACAACAACAACAAATCAGTGCAAAGCACCATGTATTGCCTTTCAGCAAGACCTATTATTTGCACATACATTGGCAAATTATTTGGAGTGCACGAGTATCTTCAGTTGGAGTGACTTAAGTTGTCATTTTCTTGTTGTTCCATTATACATGACAGAACTTGCACACCGTTGTCTTGAAATGGAAGCACCTTGTGTTCTCAGTGCCCCATAATGCTTAGCACCAGAGCTTTCTCTCAATATTCTTCCAGTGCTCCTTCTTCTGAGTTACCCTAGGAGCCAATCCACAGTGGCCGATTTACCTCCTTTTACTCTTAAAAAATTACAAAGTCATTGTTTAAGCCTCGGTGACTCAAAAGCTCCCCTTTCATGCTGATTGGGCAGCTGTAGGGCTATGGAGACAGGGACCCTGCTGCAGAAATAGTACTGAGTCTTCCACCTTTCGCAACCCTCAACCACCACCACACCTTTGTCTGCAGAAGATGGAGCAGACTAGTTCTGTGTTGTTTCAAATAGCAGAGTGGTTTAACCATCAACCCCTCTTCCCAGGGAACTCTGGGAATTGTAGTTCTGGAAGGGGGAATCTGAGTCTTCTAACAACTCTCAGCACCCATTAACAAACCACAGCTCCCAGAATTCTTTGGCTCTTTAAAGAGTTATCATAGTTCTTTAAATGTATGGTATGAATGTGGCCTTCATGTTGCCTTTGTAGAAGTTCATAGGGAGGAAGATGGGGATAAAAACAGAACTGGCTGACTCCACCTATGGTTGGCTTCTTACTTTTCTTTTTTCTTTCTTTCTTTTTTCTAATAATTTTTTTATTCATTTTTATTTTTCATTCATTACATACACCTGAAATTCTTAACCTTCACTATATATTCCTTCCTCCTTCCCCTCCTAGGCTTCCCCCAACTTCCGCTTCTGGTTTGTTTCTCTTTTCGCCCACTTTGCTACCTCCTAACAGAAAAAGTTATTAATAACATAACATCAAACCTAAAAACATAAAAGTAAAGACACCATAATATTTCTCTATCTTCTAAACATTTTCTAATACTAATAATGTGAATGTTTATTTAAATCCTGCCATCAAGTCTATCAACTTTCTTTGTTTCTGCAAGTATGCTATAAATGGTTCCCATTCTTTTTCAAAATTGTTGTTGTCTTTTTCTCTTAGTCTGTCTGTCATTTTTGCCAGTTCTACATAGTTCATCAACTTCTCTTGCCGCTGTTTCTAAATTGGTATTTCTCCAGTCTTCCAATTTTGTGCAATCAACATTCTTGCTGCTGGAGTGGCATACATAAATAAAGTCCTCTTTTCTTTTGGTATATCTTGGCCTAAAATACCTAGTAAGAAGGCTTCTGGGTTTTTTTACAGAAGTTATTTTCAACATTTTCTTCAATTCATTATATGTCATTTCCCAATAGGCTTTTACCTTTTTACAACCCCACCACATATGATAGAACGTACCTTCTGTTTCACATCTCCAACACTCTTTCTTTCCATTTTTATACATTTTTGCCAGTTTAACCGGTGACAGATACCATCTATACATCATTTTCATATAGTTCTCTCTCAGCTTCTTTCTTTTTTTCTTTTTTCTTTCTTTTCTGCCCTACCAGTCTCAACGGGCATCAGACACCACTGGGAGGAAGAGGAGGGAAAGACTATTGGCACACCTTTTACACTAATTTGAGCTTGTTTTGCACAGGATCTCAGAATCCTTTCCACATACAGGACCAAGTGCGGATTCTGTGGAAAAGGCCAACAAGCAGAGAAGTTAGATGTTCATTGCAGAATATCAACATCCTGTTTTAATTTACGTATTTTTCACTCCATAAGATGCACCTGACCATAAGACGCACCTAGTTTTTAGAGGAGGAAAGGGGGAAAGCTCAATTTTGGGGGGATCAGCTCACAGTTGTGCAGCTTCTTTTGCAAAGAGGGAAAAGCCCTGTTTTTTTGAGGATCAGCTCAAAGTTGTTGAGCTTACTTTGCAAAGGGAAAAAATCCTGTTTTTATGGGGTTCAACTCACAGTTCTGCAGCTTCTTTAGGAAAGGAAAGGGAGCCGTTTCTACAGTTTCCAGACAGATAATCTAATCAGCCATTCACATGTCACTGGGGAAACAAACAGCCTCCGTCTGCAGAACATTCAACAATGGAGGCCTGGGCAAGGGGGCGGGGCCAGAAAGGGAGCCAGCGATCAACCATACATTAGCTCCATAAGACGCACAGACATTTCCCCTTACTTTTTAGGAGGGAAAAAGTGCATCTTATGGAGCGAAAAATATGGTAACAATCACACCCTACTTTTTACATTTAATTGACTGTGCTGTTTTCTCCTTCTCTTGACCACCGGTGCTTCGAAACTCCACAGGGTTAACGTATATACCAACCAAACTCTGAACTATTTGGATGAGTCACCATGCCTCCGGGCTCATGTTCCTTCTATCCGGTGAAAGATATAAAAACAGCATTAGCCATTGGGTTTGAACTCAAAGTGTATGTGTGTTGGGAAGGGGGTGGCGGAATGGGAGACTTTTTATAAAAAACGTTGCACAATGCCTGAAAGCGATTCGTATTTCTGCATCCTTCCAGGGATCTCAGCGTCGATGCTGGCCTAACTCACAACCAGTTCCAGGTCAGGCCAGTTCCACAACATTATCAGCATTACTTAGCGACACAACGAATGCAGCATTTTCCCCGGAACACGTCCTCAACGCAGATGGTAAGCAAAGCGGGAGTTGCTGGGGGCCGGCTTGAAGCCTGGCTTAGACCAACAGCATAGTAACCAGAGTTTGGTGATGGAGCACATCTTCTGCGTGCAGAAAGCCCCAAATATTATCCCTAGCATTTCCAGCTCAAGTGTGCTGGTCCCGAGGGTTAACCGTGCGGCAAGGTCCGAGTCCAGTCCAAGGTCGAGGGTGCGGTGTGGAAGCTGTCCGTCAAAGCTGAAGCAGGGTCCAAGGCAGGGAGTTGGGTGAGGTCAGGAACTCTGGCACAAGAGCAGGACAGGGTGCAGGCAGGAACAGGCTACCAACAATGTTGCTCCCGCAACCTGGGACTGGGGCTGGCTGGCTTTTATCTGCCCCGAGGCATAGGGTGGCCCTGGTCCACAGGTGACTCGCCTCTCCTGGCCTGGAGGTGAGCACTCCTCCTGAGAGAACTTAGTTCCCTCCGCCTCTCTGCCCTGAGCCTCTGCAGCTCAGGAGAGGCTGGAGGGTTACGAGACCCAGAGGCAACCTCAGCTTCCCCTGACGGGGCTGAGAGTGGAGCACCTGCAGGCAACGGGTCCTCCATCACCTCAGGAGCCAGAGCAGGCTCAGCTGGTGCCTGTGATCCAGCACAGGTGAGGACCCTTCAAGCTCAAGCCCCAGCCCCGGCTCAGCTGGTTCTGGAGGCGGGGACACCTGTGCAGGCTGGGATTCCTTAGGTTCATCACATCAGGGCTCATTTGATCCTTGAGAGCCATCGCCAGTCAGCTTAGGCGATACCAGCCTATAAGGGCCAGTGGTCTGACTCTGCTTAAGGGATCTTAATGAGTTCTTAATCTGTTCTTGGACTGCTTGAATGAATGATGCTTCCCAGCTTGGAAATACAAAACTCGGCAGCTCATAGGGTTAGCATCTGAATGTTCTTACCCGGCTCAGATTTCTGCCTCTCTCCTGCCCAAACCCCTACTTTCCTCTCACCCAATCTTCTCTTTTTGCTGCTTTGGTAATAGTGTTGGGATGGCAGGAGATACTACCCCATCTCTCCCCTTCCCACTCTGTGAGCAGCCTGGCATGCAAGATTGGGCTGCTGACAACGCTCGCCTCTGAGTTCTTCTCTGGCTCAGATTTTAATCTGTGCTGGAGAAGTACCGTATTTTTCACTCTATAAGATGCATCCGACCATAAAACGCACCTAGTTTTAGAGGAGGAGAACAAGGAAAAAAAATTCTCTCCCTCCGCCTCCCTTGTGGGGGTGCCCTGTCCCCTCTTTCAGTCTCTGGCACTGGACATGCACCAATGCTTGGGAACTAAGCTACAGTAGCATTGGGAAACATAGTTTCCCCATTGCTACTGACGCATTCCCATGCGGAAAATGATCTGTGCCTTAAAAACCAGCATATCAGGAAAAAGTCTATGCCAGAACCCTTCTTCCTGACATGTTAGTTTTCTATGCGGAGGTGACAGGAACATTTAATCATGTGATTTCTCCATCTGCCATTTGGAGTGGTACAGTCCAGGGATAGTTTTACGACACAATCTGCTGTCTGTGTAGACCGGGCCTGAGTCACTGTCTGGGGGAAGGCAGTCAAAATACAGGCGTCTATCATTCCTGTCAGCTGATTGCTAGTTAGGAGCCGGCACTGTGGGAGGCAATTCTTTCTGAATGGATAATCCGACAGCTTTAGCAGAAATGATTGCTACAGCTGGTTGGGTTCTTTTACACATGTGTTCGAAGAACAACTTGCATCGCTGACTATTATTGTACCCTAATAATCTGAAATAATGTTGGGTGCTCCAATCTAGCAGATAATCTTCCTTTGAATTAACCCTTTTCAAAGGCCATTAAGCCTTATTTTGAATACTACTACTACTAGCAAACTCTCACTTACTTACTTACTTACTTACTTACTTACTTATTTTGCACAATGCCTCACAGGTTGTTCATGAAATTAGAAACTACCCATATCCTCAGCTTCAGCTACTTGCTCTTCAGGGACTGAATCCAAACAGACACACGTCCGCTGTGAGGGAAAGTTACGAAGTAAGTGCTCGCAGCTTGAATGAGCCTCTGGACCTTTTCCCCTGCAGGTTCTGTATCCGTTTATTCATTCAGCCACTATGGCTTTACTCTCATGTAACAGTAAGCCATAAACAGGGCTGGCCCTATGATGAAGCAGAGTGAGGCAGCTGCCTCAGGTGACAGTTGGTGGGGTGTGGAGAATGACCAGAGCTGTGAGTCCCCCGTGGCTGCCCTCTACCCTCTAGATTAGCCCGATGCCCTCAAGTAAAGCAGAAGATGTGTCCTTTCACCAGTATTGGAGTAAAATTCAACTCCCTGTCCAATTAGCTTCTGTATGTGCTTTTGGGGTTGGGCGCCATCTTGTCCTTTGCCTCAGGCAGCAAAATGTTTTTAGCAGGCTCTGCCAATAAATGACGGCTTATTGCAAACAAGTTGTGTGCTGATGTGCACTGCTGAATCACATCCATCCCCCTCTTTTCTGTGTCATGCTGGGAAGACACAAGTCAGAGTTAGGTGCAAATCAGCACTTGTGATTTGCTTGCTCAAAACAAGCCACAGGCAGAAGCTCAGGTTCGTTCTTGGCTTATCTCTCCTGGTTTGGTTTTTTGGGGGGGTCGAATGCCAAAGTGGGCATGATCGAAGTATAGAAGTGGGCATAGGGGGAACTGCCACTCTTAATAGCTGCCTTCCCAAAGGCTTTGCAGCCAGCTATTTGACACTATTTTGAAAAGTATTAGTAATTGGTTCTTAAGTTTGGTTTTTGAAAAGCTTTAAAAATTAAATGGGCAATTTGAGGGGGAGTTTGGAGAGCCCCTTCCTCACAGTATCACAGGGTCAGTCAAGAATAATAATAATATAATATTAATAATAATTTATTATTTATACCCCACCCATCTGACTGGATTTCCCCAGCCATTCTGGGCGGATTCCAACAGAATATTAAAATACAATAGTCTATTAAACATTAAAAGCTTCCCTAAACAGGGCTGCCTTCGGATGTATAGAGGGAGGGAGGGAGGGAGGGAGGGAGGGAGGGACAGGGCAGAGAGAAAGATTTGGAGGGGCTTTGGGGCAATAAAACCTTTTTGGCGTTACAGTATCACAGCAAGGGATCTAGAAGAGCAGTCAGTATTACACACACACACACACACACACACACCTGATGCAAAAAATACTGAGTGAGATAAGACCAATTGTTTGACTTCATTTAAGTCAAGATTCCTGTATATTCCCCTTTTGAAAGTCATTTTATTTCCTGTGCCTTTAAAAATAAACCTGATTAAAAGAAAACCTTCTTTGGACCGGTAAGGGGCAGGGAAAGGGTGGAGAGATGAGGACTCTTGATCTGCCATCTCAGATGGCTAACAGGTGGCTATTTGAAAGGTCTCCTGCTCATTCCTTTCTCTTTCCTCCCTCTTTTTAGGAGCTTTTGCAACTGGAAGACAGGCTGGGCAGTGTGAACAGGGGGGCCGTCCAGAACACCATTGAACGGTTCACTTTCCCACACAAATACAAGAAGGTAAGAGTTGGAAGAACATCTCATCCTACCAGAATTGACACTGGGCGCTGACCATTCTTGGAGGCAAGCCTGATGCTGGCTACAACTTTTTTTGTTGCAAAAGTGGATGAAATTTGCAGGCATAACAGCCGCCTTACCATCACTGGATTAAGCCTGACAAATCATAGGCAGATAACAACCAGTTTTTGTTTTGTTTTTTCCATACAGGGCATCTTCAAAAATTGATTATTATTTTTTTAAAAAGGCAATCAACAAGTCTTTAACTTTTCATTTTAAGAATGAATGAACAGGTGTGGATGCAACACAATCTTTGCCCTCTATGAATTTGCCTAAAATCAGTGGCTACCACATCTTGTGGTAATAAATTCCATACATTAATTGTAAGCGTGTAAAAACAAGTCCTGCCAAACGGTTTCACGCTGGATGACTCTGAATTCTAATATTCTGAAGGAAAGAGACTAAAATGTATTTTTCTGCCTACTTTATCTGCATCATCTATTTGTTCTGAGGGCTCATATGTACAAATCTGGGCTGCTTGGAAAGGAATAGTAATAGTAGTAGTAGTAATGGCAATAATTTATTTTAAGTATTCACATAAACTGCTGCACTGACCGGTATTTTGTTATGAGCAATGGGTCTTAATGGAGGGCATTGGTTAAGCCAGGCATCCCCAACCTTTGGCCCTCCAGATGTTTTGGACTAAAATTCCCACCATCCCTGACCACTGGTCCTGTTAGCTAGGGATCATGGGAGTTGTAGGCCAAAACATCTGGAGGGCCAAAGGTTGGGGAGGCCTGGGTTATGCTCTTTGCCATCTAAATCCCCACCCGCTCCTGAAGGCCTTGGGGCGGCCATCTTGTGTAATGCTGTGATCTTTCCTTGACCTTCTTGACAGAGGAGACCGCAGGAAATCAAAGCAGTAAAGGAAGATGGGGAGGAGTCGGACACCGATGAGAAATGCACAATCTGTCTCTCGATGCTCGAAGACGGAGAGGATGTGAGGTATAACTATTCTCCGAAGGGATTCCGAGTGAAATCTTTCTTATGTTCGTTCTCTATCCACCTCACCCCACCTCAAAGTTTCATCACTTTCATTCTTTGCTTGCTGGTCTGTGATTCTATCGCAAACTCCCCCTCCACCACACAGATATATATTGCCTCTGAGCAAATCAGTCCTCATGAACTAAACAGTTAGAGGTTTGTAACTAGGGCTACTGAAGGGGTTGTCTAAGTCCTTATAGCACCCCAGGGCTTCTCTCTCATCTGAAGGCAGCCCTGTTTAGGGAAGCTTTTAATGTTTAATAGGTTATTGTATTTTAGTGTTCTGTTGGAAGCCGCCCAGAGTGGCTGGGAAACCCAGCCAGATGGGCGGGGTATAAATAATAATAATAATAATAATAATAATAATAATAATAAATACCTCTAAGAACCACCTGCCACCAATTCTGTATCCATTTTGAGCAGGGCGGGTTCCAGGTTTAAAGGAATGGGATTTGTCTTGCATCAGTGGGCATCTGGCTACCTTACCTGGTGACAGGAACAAGTGGTGGAGAGCCGCCATTTTCATTTTCCACAATTCCCCTGGACACAACACCACTCCTATGCATTGTGGGGAAATCAGACAGTAGTCCTTGACTAGAGCACCAGTTTCAAGGAGGGTGGCGCGGGTGGCGCTGTGGTCTAAACCACTGAGCCTCTTGGGCTTGCCGATCACAAGATCGAATCCCCGTGGTTCGAATCCCCGTGACGGGATGAGCTCCCGTTGCTCTGTCCCAGCTCCTGCCAACCTAGCAGTTCAAAAGCACGCCAGTGTGAGTAGATAAATAAGTACCGCTGTGGTGAGAAGCTAAACGGCGTTTCCATGCGCTACTCTGGTTTCCATCACGGTGTTCCATTGTACCAGAAGCGGTTTACTCCTGCTGGCCACATGACCCGGAAAGCTGTCTGTGGACAAATGCCGGCTCTTTCGGCCTGAAAGAGAGATGAGCACCACAACCCCATAGTCACCTTTGACTGGACTTAAGCATCCAGGGGTCCTTTAAAGGTAAAGGGACCCCTGACCATTAGGTCCAGCCGTGGCCGACTCTGGGGTTGCGGCGCTCATGTCGCTTTATTGGCCGAGGGAGCTGGCGTACAGCTTCCAGGTCATGTGGCCAGCATGACTAAGCCTCTTCTGGTGAAGCAGAGCAGCACACGGAAATGCCGTTTACTTTTCCGCTGGAGCGGTACCTATTTATCTACTTGCACTTTGTGCTTTCGAACTGCTGGGTTGGCAGGAGTAGGGACCGAGCAACGGGAGCTCACCCCATCGCGGGGATTCGAACCGCCGACCTTCTGATCGGCAAGCCCTAGGCTCAGTGGTTTAACCCACAGCGCCACCCGCGTCCTTTAAGGAGGAGCTTAGGGCAGGCATCAGCAATGGGCCTCAGCCATTGTGCTGAGGCCCCAGCCGTTGCACAAAGGTCCTGCATGTTGGTGCCAGGCTCAGTCTTGACCTCTTGCCCAGATAACAAACCTTCTGTTTTCCAGGCGTTTACCTTGTATGCATCTGTTTCACCAAGTGTGTGTGGACCAGTGGCTCGCGACCAGCAAGAAATGCCCTATCTGCCGAGTGGACATTGAAACACAGCTCGGGTCCGACAGCTGAGAGGAGAACCAGCTCTGGGGATGTGTCCTCTTTTCCTTTCCTTTTCTTGGTCCTTCCTGGGGCGTCGCAGCCCCTTTGCAGCAAAAGTTTTGCCTTTCTGAGCCATTTGATTTTGTGTGTGTGTATGAAGAAAGCCTGCAAGCACATTCGCAGATTATTTAAACAAAAAATTAAATTAAATTAATTTTTAAAAAGAAGAAGAAGAAGAGGAAGACGAAAATGAGGAAGACAGAAAAGATGATGATGATGATGATGAAGAAGAAGAAGAGTTGGTGGTTTATAATATCTCGAGGTAGGAGGAGATCCGTGCCACCTTGTTGACTGCGAAGCATGGGTATACGCAGCTAGAAAGCCGGCGGGAAGAGTTAGTTGTGGGAAGGACGGTACATAATGTTCCTAGTTATGGCCTCTCAATCCTGCTTCTCAAAAGGATTGTATATAATATACCTCTTGAATAAGTAGAAACACATTAGGGGTTCTTTAGCTATTTCTATGGATGGCTTCCAGAGCATGTACGCTTAAAGAAATGTCGTCTTTTGATGCCCTGTCATCTTGTGGTGGGTCTGTTGCTATTAACCTAATCTGCACCAAACATCGCATTGGGGGCTTTTGTTATCTTTTCGTTTTTCCATAAGGTTCCTTACTTTGGTGCCTGGCTGAAACATAATTGGGGGTAGGGGAGGGAATGGGGGACACAAAGACACAAGAGTAAAGTTCTTTTCTTGCTTGGGTGAAAACAGGAAGGAAAAAGAATCTTGTTTACGCTGGAAAAAACAAAAGAAATATATATCTATTTCTTTTCCCTTAGGAGCATTTGACTCGGGAAAAGATTGCAGTGAGGTAGGAAATTAAAGAAAATGAGGGAAAGTGGAAATTGGAAGGAAATTTGGGGGTTGGGAGAAAAGAGCGGGAAACTGTCTTTCCTGCTTATCTGCTGGTGCTGGACATGATACTTAGGGCAGAAGCCCAGGATGAATTTCGCTTCCGTCTACTGGATCTGAACGATGGGTCTCCCAAGGAAGAATTAGAACATCTCTCCACAAGCCTCAGGCTTAGACTACTTCTCCTTCAGAAAAATACATATTATTAATTTGACACTCTCCCTTTTGGAGCAATGGAACCATTTTCTGCCTCTTTTAAAAACAACATGGCAGCCATTTGATTGTCAGTAGGCAATTTGCTTTTGGGGAGCAGTGACAAGGTGACTTTTAACCCTGGAGGGCTCCTTGGGCTCTATATCTTGTGACTGGTAGGAGGAAGCGATCTTCATCTGGTCTTGTGCATGAGTTGGTTTAAGCTAGTAGAATACACTGTCTTTGGTAACTGGTCGGGGTGAGTCTAAAAGGCCACAGGAAATAGATTCTGCCATCTCTTGGCAGCACAATAAGCACAAGCCCTGCTCTCCAAAGCATGGAGAACGGGGCCTAAAGACCACATCTTGCCTGTTCTACCTTAAATTCTTGCACAAAAGCTACATGGGAAGTTTCTCATCAAATCCCATAGAACTCTTCCAGAAATATTCCCCCACCTCGCTCTCTCAGGATCCCAGAGACAGTCAGGGGCTGACTGAGCAAAATCTTCCACTTTTCTTCCAGATCTTTGCGCTGTCTACCGTGTGTGTGTGTGTGTGTGTGTGTGTGTGTGTGTGTGTGTAGAGGTTTTAGCACTCAAGACAAACCCTGCATTACTTATTTTTCAAGTGCTACAAATTAAGTAAAGGGGAGGGGAGAAATTCAGTCCAAATTTACATGGTGAAAGCCCTTTTGATACATGGAATATTTTGAACACGGACAACATTTCAGGTTCCTGGAAAACATTAGAATGATGCTCTGGTCTTGGGAGGCAAATGTGTGATTGCTCAAGCAAATACTGTATGTTTGTGTGTGCATATATAGTTATTATGTCCTGAAACTGGTTTTCAGGCTGTCGACTGCATAATACACACGTAATTTACCTAAGTTGGGCAGTGTCCACTGAAGGAGCATTCCACATCCTTAGCAGAACGGGGAATGATGTGCGCAATCTGCTGTTCAGGAAGAGGAATGAGGGTCAGGACGAATTCAGCCTTTCCCGATCTCTTTTTCTCACCAAGCAGCTGACCAGCGGAATGACAGCTTCCTTTACAAAACTTTCACCACACAGCAGAAGAGCCAACACTTTATTTTATTTTATTTTTTTAATATAATTTTTATTAACAAACCAATCAAATCACATTAATTCCAAATTACAATGCCAAATTTTTAAATTTTTGTTGGGGGTACCCATGTGTGATGGGATGATGAGCTGCTTGTGCGTAAACTCGTATCCCCTCAGAGTTTGTTCAAGTCCACAAACCTCTGTCTGTGACAGAGCCCCTCAGACATGGCTACTCTAGTCACTAGCAGATTCCGACAGTGGTTGCTTTCGTAATCGCTTCCAACATAAAAGCTCCTTAACGGAAACACGTCTTCTGGAATCTCTGCGTGACAGTTTCCGGCGAGGAGTGGGTGTTCTTACAGGAGGTCCTGAAACCTCTCCACTGTTTTCGCTGGAAGTGTCTCTGAGCCATCCCTCCAGCTCAGCTCCTCTCCCTTGCTGGTTCCCTCATCAGCTGCTGCGTCTCTCCCAACCTGTGTGAGCCCTTTCACCTCCCTGTTGGTTTCCTCTTCAGCTGCTGCGTCTCTCCCAACCTGTGTGAGCCCTTTCACCTCCCTTCCGTCCGATGGCAGTTCCCTGACATCCACCTCCCCTCCAGGGCCCCCTTCACCCCCTCTCGCCCCCTCCTCTACGGGCGGTGAGGAGGCAAAACCCGGAATGAACTTCCTTCATCTTCCGATGTCTCGAACACTTCTCTCAACCTGTTGCGGTTCCTGGTCTCGAAGTACACCTCCTCCTCAGAGTCCATCTCCCCTTCCCCTTCCGAGTCCGGGAATCCTTCCAACTCCTCCCCTTCATCAGTGGTCCCAAAGTATTCCCTCCGGAACCTCTCTACAGGCTGAGGTTTCCTTGGGAACCTTTGATGGAACGTTTCTATCAATACCTCGTCATTGATATCTTCAGCCATTACCCAAGTGTTTTCTGACTCCGGTTCTCCTTCCCACGCTACCAAATACTCCACCTGATCCCCCTTCCACCTGGCGTCGAGGATTTCTGCCACATGGCTGCTGCATTCTCTTTCTTCTACGACCGGTCCCCGAGTGGCCAGCCCTTCTCGTCCCCCTTCGTACGGTGACAGTAACGACCTGTGAAATACTGGGTGCAGTTTCATGTGGTTGGGTAACCGGAGCCTGAAAGCCACTGGGTTGACCTGTTGAATGACCTCAAAGGGACCCAACCTCCTGGGTCTTAATTTCTTACAACCTCCTTTGAACGGCAACCCTTGGGTTGACAGCCACACCCTATCTCCCACCCTTATGGTTTCACCTTCCCTTCGGTTCTTGTCTGCCTGCCTCTTGTATTCTTCCTTCGCCCTTTCTAAGTTGAGTTGGAGCTGACGATGGATTGCTTCCATTTCTTCCACAAAATGCTCGGCTGCCGGGACGCTCCATCTCTCCCCTCTCCCCTGGGAAAGCCCTGGGATGACACCCATAATTAGCCAAGAGGGGCTCATCCCTGTGGACACATTCTCGGCATTGTTGTAGGCAAATTCCGCCAGCGCCAACTTTTCTACCCAGTCATTCTCTCTGTCATTGACATAACACCTCAGGTATTGCTGGAGGACACCGTTTGCTCTTTCCGCCTGCCCGTTGGTTTCAGGGTGCCGGGCAGTCGAAAAATTGACCTCCACCTGCAGTAAGCTCATGAGCTTCCTCCAGAACCTGGAAGTAAATTGTTTTCCTCGGTCTGAGACCACCCTCAATGGCACCCCGTGCAACCTAAAAATGTTTTCTACAAATAACTTCGCTGTCTCTTCCGCCGTGACTGCATGCGAGCAAGCTACAAAGTGGCACATCTTTGTTAGTAGGTCTACCACCACCATGATGGCTGTTTTCCCTTTGGACTTCGGCAGATCAGTCATAAAATCTATCGACACTGCCTCCCAAGGTCGTTCTGGGGTTGGTAAGGGTTCTAATAGCCCCGCCGGCGCCCGCCTTTCCCCTTTGGCTCGCTGGCATTGCTCGCACCCTCTTACATACTCACGTACATCTTCCCTCACCTTAGGCCACCAAAATTCCCTGGTGACCAACCACATGGTTTTGTGTTGTCCAAAATGCCCCGCCGTAGGGCTGTCGTGCAACTGCTTGAGTACCCTCCCCTTAACTCTCCTTCAGGGATATACAGTGCCCCTTTGTAATACAAAGCTCCATTTCTTTCCTCGAAACCCCTGGTTCCTCTCCATCACCCCTAAGACCTCTGAGCTTATTCTGGGCGTATTCATCATTCTCTGTTTCCTCTACCAGTTCTCTTTGTCCCACCAATGCCGCCCCACACACCCAGCGGTCTTCTGGAATGACATGTCTCTCTTCGGGTGCCCCCTCCCTCCAAATATTCAGGTTTGCGTGAGAGAGCGTCCGCCCTAATGTTCTCTGGGCCTGGCACGTAACTAATCTCAAAGTTAAATTTGGAGAACTCCTGGGCCCATCTCACTTGCCGTTGGTTGAGCACTCGTGCCGTCCTCCAATACTCTAGGTTCTTGTGGTCAGTGCACACTTGCACCTTATGTTGTGCGCCAATTAGCAGGTGCCTCCATCTCCGGAACGCCTCATGAATGGCTAGTAGTTCTCGGTCATACACCGTGTAGTTCCTCTCGGATTTGTTCAGCTTTCGCGAAAAAAGGCACACGGTCTCCACTCTGACCCCTTCTTGCCTGGCTGCAGAAGCACCGCCCCAATCGCTCTGTCTGATGCGTCAGTTTCCACTCTCATCGGTTTTTGTAAATCCACATGCAGGAGTTGTTGTTCCGAGGCGAAGGCCCTTTTAGTTCCTCAAATGCTCGCTCCGCCTCCTCAGTCCACACGAACTTCTTCTTACTGCTGAGACAGTCCGTAATGGGCGCCGTCAGGTGGGCAAAGTTTCGGATGAACTTACGATAGAAGTTCCCAAATCCTAGGAACCTCTGCACATCCTTCTTTGTTTTGGGTGCTTTCCATTCCAGCACAGCCTGGACCTTGCCGGGATCCATGGCCAATCCCTTGTCTGACAGGCGATACCCCAGGAATTCCACCTCCTTGGTATGAAACTGACACTTCTCCAGTTTCACCCACAGCTGGTTGGCTTGCAGCCTGCTCAACACTTCTCTGACGTCTCTCACATGCTGCTCCTCATTCTCAGAATACACCAACACGTCGTCTAAAAAGGCCACACAATTCTTGTAAAGCAAAGGCCCCAGGACGTGGTTCATAAACGATTGAAAGGTTGCGGAGCCTGCTTGGAGGCCGAAGGGCATAACCAAATATTCAAATGCCCCTAAAGGGGTGAACATAGTGGTTTTCCATTCATCCCCCTTCCTTATTCGTACCAGGTTGTACGCCCCCCTTAGGTCCAGCTTTGTAAAAATCTTTCCCTTCCGCACCCTTGTCAAAATGTCGTCAATCCTGGGCATAGGGAAGGCTACTGGTTCTGACACTGCATTTAAGGCCCTGAAGTCACACACCAGCCTCGGCTTGTTCGTGTTTTTCTTATCCACAAAAACACTGGGCTGCCCCCACCGCCCTGGACTCTCTGATGAACCCTCTCTTCAGGTTCTTGTCAATGAACTCTCTTAACTCCTGCATCTCTCTGTCTGACATGGCGTACAGCTTGCCTACAGGGAGCTGTGCTCCAGGGAGTAAGTTGATTTGACAGTCAAAGGGTCTATGCGGGGGTAGTTGGTCAGCTTCCCTTTCGCTGAAGACGTCACGGAGATCTGCATATTGTCGTGGTACCTTCACGTTCTCTGTTACTTCAGTCCCTGCTAGGGTGGCTTGGACCCCTGCCAAACCCTTTCCCTCTTTGCAGTGTTCTAAGCAATGTTCTGAACCAAAAGAAACCACTCTCTGATGCCAGCCCACCAGCGGATCATGTAACGCTAGCCAGCTCATCCCCAATATAATGGGAGCTCCTCCCAAGGTGGCCACATTAAAAGCTATCAGTTCGGTGTGCCTTGCTACCTTCATTATCATTGGGACGGTCTGCAAGCTGACTTCTCCACCCAACAGCTCCCTGCCATCGATCGTGGTCACCTGCAGGGGGCTGCTTAAAGGATTGTCTGTATCTGGTGTTCAGCTGCAAACTCTTTGCTCATGAAATTGCAGGAGCTGCCTGAGTCCAACAGCGCCTTTATCTTTAGAGGGTGTCCGTTTGGCAGCTCTAGCGTCACTTCTATCACTAGGGCGGGTTTAGGAGGTTCTGGCGTGGGCACTCTCACTGCTCTTTGGCCTGGCTGCTGTGCCCTGACAGTGGCAGCCAGGCGTTGGCTTTTACTTGCTCCGGTATATTTTCCTCTCTTCCATCCACAGCCCCTACCATCCCTTGCCATTCTTTCCTCTGGGGGCAGACTCTGGCAAAGTGACCTGGCTGTTGGCAGAGATAGCATTTCCGGGCGCCTTTTCCCTCCTTCTTTGCCCCCTCACTGGGCTTTGAAACTGCGCGCGCGCGCTGTTCCGATTTCCATCGGCTCTGCCGGTGGGAAAGTTGGCTCTGGAATGTCTGGAATGCGGAACTCCTTCCAACGTTCCCCTTTCCCTTCCCGCCTCTCCAATGCTCTCGCCTCCTGGCGCGCTCCTATGGCCAGTGCTGATTTGGTCAGCTGGTCCATAGACTCCGCCCTGGGCGCCCGGGAAAGTTCGTCTTTCACAGCCGAAGAAAGCCCTTCTTCAAAGAGCATTTGAATGGGTTCCGCCGATAAGTCCCACCCCAATCTGTGAACAAGCATGGTGAACTCAGTCCAGTACTCACGGACAGATCGGCTCCCCTGTTTGCAACCCATTAACTGTCTGCGCACCACTCCCTTTTCAATATCGCTGGAAAACATCAGATCCATGGCGCGAAAGAACTTCATCGTGTCTTTTAAGACGTCACTATTCGCTGCCATCAGGGGTCTAACCCAGTCTCTCGCCCCCTTTTCAAGATGCTCAATCACGAAAGCCACTCGTGATTCCTCGTCAGGGAATTCATCAAACTGCAGATTGAGGGCATATTGCATTTCTGTCCGAAAGCCATGATAGTCTTTGGGCTCCCCCCCAAACTTCTGCACCAATCCTGGTACCTTTCTGGCGAACTGGGTGGCTTTCCCCCTTTTGTCTGCATCCTGAGCCCTCCTCTCCTCAAGCCTCGCCGTCTGCATCGCTAGCTGGACCTCCAACATC